TACTGCGCGGCTACCGTTTTACATGCCAATTGTCTCTCTCAAATACATAACCGACACCGCGTCCCATCCCTTCTATATATTACTATATTATCAGCCAGCCCGCTGTCGGCAATGGCCCCCATCAACATACCCGTCTCGATAATCATCCTGGCGGTGCTGCGCGCGCGGCCGCTCGTATCCGGACTTCCGTAATAATTGCATAATGCGCTAATAGCGCTCGTAAAATGATTACGCGTCATATGAAATGATTACACTCGCCGAGTACAGCGGCAATTGCGAGCTCGTGCTGGCTGGCGGTGATCAGACAGACACCGCGTACGCGAATCGCGCCGTTAATACAGGCAATATACATAAAACACATGTGTGTCCACCCATATCCATGTGCGCGCAGGTATTTGCATTTCAGATAAAGGTTATTCAATAACGAGATTACGTATTAAGTGTCACACGTATGAGTGGCTCTCGCGTAGTTCGTCTGTCCAAGATGTGCGCGCTATTTTCACGCCCGATGCGACGCTCAAAGCGACTGCACAATTTTACCAACATATTACGTCTCTCTGCGAAAGCTATGCTGGACACGTAGTGGTGAGAGCACGAATCGCAGCTACGAATGCCTCACGAATCATCGGAAGATGTAATGGACTGCAGGTGTGAGAAAACGTGACAGCGGGAAGCTGCAATAGTATATCTGCAGCAATGTAAGATAGAATTGCCTCTACGTCGCCTTGTTGGCGGAAATGAGAAATATTCATGAGATACTCAATGTGAGAAAAAAACTCCGATAATATTTAAAATAATAATAATATAATATGCCAAGAAAAAAAATGTAGAACAGAAAAAGAATATTTTTTAATCCAACTATAAGTTCAAGTTAATGTACATAATGTTGAATCAATCCTCCTATATTAACTCTATTTTTTTGCTTCGCATCTTATTCAAATTAACTTTAAATTCATTAAAACTGTGAAATTCATAATCCGCTGAGAATTAAATATGCCAACACAAAACTATCTCGGCATTTTAAATTACGCAAATTTATTAATATTACTTATCACTTAACGTAACGTATTAAAGTATATTATAAATTTAAATTTAACTAAAGATATATGTAATTGCAAGCTAAATGTATTTAATCATGTTAACAACTTCTTTCTCAATATATTATATCTCAAAATTATTTTTTTCACTGCTGCATCCTTTTGCATATATTTTGTGAACCGTACATTCTTGTATACAACTACGGAATGAAGTGCGAGTGCATCGAGCGATTGCATCTCCCGTACCGAGCGCCAAGCTTTTCGGCAGACTAACTCGGAGTATAGCGCGACGGCGCGAACGTCGTGGAAAACGAGAGAAGCGCGGAATGGTCGCACATTGCTGCACTCCCCAACAAGGCGCAGCCTGTTTAATTAGCGAGCAAATTAAATGTCGGGACAACCACATCCGACATGGCCACGCAATTAGAGGTATTATAAATTAATTATAACACCGCGACGCAGTCAGTTTTGTGGGATTCAATCTCGGAATGGACTTGGCATTGGCAAGCAAAATGAATGCCAAACTTAGCTCGTTGCCGACCGCTTACGACCGCGTTTTGTTGCTTCATTTTGAAGGATATATTTTAAATAACACACGGATCAAATGGTATAAAATCGATTTAGTTCTATGTGTAAAGAAAGAGGTCGAAGTGGTACAATAAAAAGTGAAAACTATACTCGCAATCTATCGCGAAAAAAGAAAAAAGAAAAGATAGCTATGTCAAATGTTAAATTTACCTCATTTATCCTGAAATTTAAATTGCATGATATAATTCTTAGAAGTTGAATTATATCATCGTGTGGATTACATCGTCGTGCTAGAATCTGCCTGCAAGCTTGATATCTATTTTTTTCTGACTACCTCAAATGAACATATCTTAAACTGCATAAACTGCAGACCAAATAAGTAGTATAAAATTGGTTTGGTGATACGTGTATAAAGAAAGAGATCTAAACTAACGCTTTAAAAATGTAATTTTTATGTAATGTAATGTAAATTTGCAATCTATCAAGAAACGATGTCCTCTTTTCAGCAAAGAGAAACTCTCAACCTGTAAATTCATGTAATTCATTCTGGAATTGCATGAAATAATTCTTGAACATTAAATTATATTAGCATGACAATTACATCGCTGTGCTTGAACCGGTCTGCAATTCCGAGGACTGCTTTTCCTCGCAATCGGATAAACGCGATTTGTACCTTTAACAAGCTGCACGATCGGGTCGGCACCGGGCTACGTAAATGGCGTAGAACGGGTAACGTCTAAGATTCCCCCAGGGGGTGTCACACGAATTGCCAGGCGGAGCTTAGAAGTCTCGGGCAGAATAGAAACCGATTAAGCGAAACAACCGACTGACAGCACCTGTTGATACTTCGCCTAGCTCGTGGCGAAGGTGTAGACTCACGGACACACGCGCGCGCGCGATGTAGGTGTGAGTTCTGGCGTATATACACTTGTACGCGCACCCACCGGCCGATGTCCGGTGTCGCCGCGATTCGCCGCGAGGCGAGAAGACACCGTCGGCGGAACGAGAGTAAACCGCCGAACATCTACGCAAGGTTCGGCGCGTCGGCGCTGGAAGATTTAATTTTCGGCACACATCGTGTCGCGGTAAATTGAACCGCAGACCCGGCTCTGTTAATATGCGAATTACGAGCGGCTATTACCCTTTGTCCGTGATTCAGCGCGTTACACGCGCTTACCCGCGTTTAAACGCGCATCGCATACATCCGTAAACTGTTTACGGATGGTCGGATGCGGCCGTCTCCTGTGACGGGTTTCTCTACATACGAAGTAACTCATGCACATCTCCCTAGGGATTTTCTCTGGACATTGCGATACACACAAATAAATAATTCACAAGACACAACATTAACTTAGCGACGAGTCTTGGGCAATTATACTCGGCAATGAACGCGTTTCACGTACGAATATATACTCTTCATTTTTAAGATAAAGTTATCTTGTCGAAAATGTCGGAAAATCAACATCCTTTGAGCGATTTAGAAGTAAAAGAAGAAAAAATTTTAACGAGTTAAGCTTTCAGATGCAAAATAGATAATGAAAAATCTTCTTCCTCTAATTAATCTGATCCGACTAATTTTAAGCGAACTTTACTCCAATGGAATCTTTAGCTTAGTGCTTACTTACAGAGAGATTCAATGTTGAAACTTCAAAACCCCTCTGTGCACCGTCGAGCTAATTAATCCCACATAAAGCGATTCGTGGCGAATTAATCCGAACGACCGTAGAAGCCGCGATTATCGCGATAACCGAAAATTTTCGTTCTCCCTCTCTCTCTCTCTCCCTCTCTCAGAGAGAATTGGAGCAGAGGAAATTAACGCGATCAAACTGCTTGAGCGTGTATGTGAATCTTTCGACACACGCATATCCGTGACAACGTAATGTCATAAACAACACGCACAATATAGCAAGCAATACCGCGTGAATTCTGCTGAAACTAATCGTGAGCTTAATATACTGCGTTATTTCTGATATCCCCTTTGTGCACAGAATACATGTGAAATATTTTTGTCGATAGGCCGCGGAATCCAGTAATATCAATGTTTCACTATTTAATTAAATATAATTTATTATTCTCTATGAGAAAAAAATATGCTGTCCCGATATAAATTTTATCGAGAATATCCCCACTGATTAACAGATTTAATTTTCAAGCAAAAATGTTTCATTGTAATTTTTATATTTTTATATTTTTTTAAACAGAAAAAAATGTGCAAGTTTTCTAAAAAATGTTATGTACTAAATGTTTTCTTGCTTTAACAGTTATTTACAATTAGATCTGATGAACAATCATTAAATAAAAGAATTTTAGAAATTATATTATATAAATATTCACATAAAAAATATTTTTTATCAGTGATTTAATTAATTAAAAATGTAAAAAAGACGGAACAAGCTGTTTTTAATACGTTATTAACGTTAGAGAATAATAGTCAATGAAATCATTCTAGCTCGTAGAAAATAAATAAAATTCATTTAACACGCTCGATGCTTTTCACAAACAAGTTTTAAACGTCGCAAAAATTCAATAATCAGAATAAAGTTTTAATTTTATTTTATTTTTCTTGTATCGGCACGCTACGAAATTTGTTCGCGTAATTATGATTAATTAATATTTTGTTAACTGATTTCCGTAGTCTTAGATTGTTGTTTTGCACCTTTAACTTTATACGTTTTTCTTGATTAAAAAACAGATCAATAAAATCAGCTTGTCATGTAGTTCAAGTCTAATTTAAGAATTGTAAGCCTTCGTATTGCTCGTTTTTTTCTGCAGCGAATTGTTTAACAGCATTTTCAAACAATCTATCCAGTTTTGTTATCAAAGAAAGTTCCTTGCAAAATCGGATATTAATCTCCCAATTACTCTTAAACCAATCGCAAACTAATGTATTTAATCAATTAGATTAATAAATCATTTTACTTAATAATCTCCTATGTTATAAATGATGTGATGTTCTATTAAATCTATCAATTTAAATTTGCTTGTAATATTTTGGCGATCCTACAAAGACTCATTTATATGCGTTAAGTTTCTCAGCCAACACACAAGCTTAAAAACATCTGAAGCGTTCAAAAGACGATATTTTTTTCTAACGTCTTTCAGACGTCCTTCAGATGTCTTTAAGACTAGCGTGTTGTCTGGGTTGCTTAGTTATCATAAAAAAAGGGGAAAGGAATGCGAGTAAACATTGATTAAATGCATGCTGAATAAACCGGATTGGCATTCACAATTAGTAGAACGCTGATTGGTTGATTCAAAATGAATTCGGTTATTACATTAAAATGTGCGATATCAACTTCAAGCAATGTTCATATCATCGTATTGAATCGCATTATGGTATAAAACATTGTGATCATATACATAATTATAATTGTGTATGCATATATTATCACAATTATGTACATATTTAAATAATGAACAAATAATCGGACTTACCAGCCAACGTATCGCACTTCCATCCACCCGCTGCTGCTGCAGATTCCATTGTTTGTTTCGCATTAGCTGCTGCATCGAAGAATCTATGAATATCGAAAGCCCACAATTAGTTATGTACTCTATCAAACAATGATTAATTTGTTTACCTTCAAAAGAATGCCAAAATCAGAGATCAAATTACATCGCAAACTATTCACACTACGTACGAAACACAAAGGTGAAATGTAATAAATGAGTGTCATGGCGCCTCTGCGAGTACGAAGTCCAACTGAGAGCAGCGCCTCTTTTCGGTAAGCTGTTGCGACGAGCACGCCGATGGTAAGTGCATCGATGGTAAGTGCACCGATGATAAATGCCCCTCCGCGTTCCAGACTCTGTACTACAGAGTTCAATGCACAGCTTATAGTGGCGTGATGTCAGTTTTGCATAAACAGAAATGTGTAGAGGTTTACAGTTTTGTAATGTTAATTTTTCGTTGAATTTTTAGGCAACATTTTAATTTGGAAAAATAATAGTATTATTACTGCAATATTTAGCATAAATATTTCTTAATATTTCTCTTTTTACTTCGTAATCTCAACAAATAGAACATGTTTGGTTATGTACCATATTTGTGTTTACATGAATCTGTTTCTATGACAGCGGATTTGAATCGCGGATAGTGCGAAGTAAATCTTTGTAACAGAATTTGTTATTTTATATATATTTTATGAAACCAAACGAAATGGTAGAAACGGCCGAATCGGATGTGCAAATTATTTTGAGCATAAAAGAAGGTATTAAGATAAAATTTTTAAATAAGTTTATTTGAATTTATTTTGCAATGTGTATATTTCGAAAATTATTACTATCAAATCATACATTATAAAAGCAATTATTAGTATAACTTTCATTTTGTTATTATTATGAAATAAATTTCTATGAAATTAATATGTGTAAAATTTAAATCAAAAAATAGAATTTGATTTATAGATTATTAGAGTTATAAATGTAAAATTTTATATATGTGTGTAATGCAGGAAAGGGTTTTGAACAAGTTTTACAACCAACTTTATTTACTGGAACCTTAAATGGACATTCTTTAGAAACTGACAGAATAGAGTCAAGTGCGAATCCGCAATATGCGACTGACTTGATTTGGGAGACCAACAAAGCTGCACTGAGAAAGTAAGTATTGTATTGTTTTTTAATTGTCATTAACTTTGAAAATAAAATATTTACCCAATATATCTTGTATTTAATTTCTAGAATGCGATCAGGGCAAGTTCCATTAAAATTAGAATGCTTTGCTTTTAAAGAGAATGGCTGTAAAGAAAAAATTGGATATATTGTGTTAAGTATACGTTCTGCGCATATGACATCTAAATACAGAGATTTGAGTCCAAAAGCGAATTGGCACAAATTGCTAGGATTAAGGAATGATCTTAAAATACAAAAGCCTGAAATACTTCTTACATTGAGAGTTGAAGATTGGAAAAATGTAAATTCAAATCTAATTGAGGTAAGAAATATATTTAAATTTTATATATTAATATATCCTAAGCTTATTATAAAAAATATTTAGTCTTCTAGTAACAATAATTAAATATTAATGTTATTTATAATTAATGATCAAATTATAACTAAAATTGACTGCACAAAATACATACAAATATCTATATTGCCTCATAGATAAAAAATGTGATGACAGTCGAAGATAATTTGCAAAATGATAAAATAATACCTTATTTGTATCCTGATGAGCAATTGATCCAATTGGGTTCTCTAAATACCTGCTACGAATTATTTTTATTAAGCATCACAGCTGTGTACATAGAAAATTTACCTCTGTTATTACCTGAACATTTAAATAAGGATAATGCTGTGCACTTTTCGTATCGAGTTTTAGAAAACGATGTAGAACTTAAACCATTCAAGATACAATCTGAAAAACCCGATTTTCTCCACGAAAAAGTAGTAGTGAGAATACGAAGTTCTCTAAGTGTTTTAAAACATTACCTGCAAGCAGAGCCACATCTGTTAATATTTTTGAAACATAAAAATAGTATAATAGCTGAATCATCAGTTAATCTGGAATCCCTAGTGGTCACAGATAATTTGCAAGAATTTCTTAAATGTACTGCAAACACGAGTACTATACATGAAAGATGTTTCCTAGCTCCTAAACAAAATTTAGTAGAAAAACTTATTGAAAGCCAATATCCAAAGTCCCATCTTGATTTACAACTCAAACTACAATATATTGGAAATAAAATGGATATTGTACATAACTTTGATACAGCAATAAGCTCCAATAATCACATAATACCTCGTGTTCAATATCATAATGAAGAAAATACAAGTAATGCCAGTCAGGTAGAATAGGAATATAGTTATCTTGGTCACAATTTCTCATCTTACATTATTAATCATCTTGATGAAATAATAAAATACAAAAATAGTATCTCTAAAACGTTGTTGATATATCAATATATGATATATATAAAATTTAAAATATTGTATTTTAGAGATGTCCAGAGATTGAATCTCACAGAAATCCAAGTGGTGATTTTGGAAAACTCAATTTTAACAACATTTCTGGTGGAATAAAAAATGCAACAGAATGCAGAAATACAAATAAACAGTCCATTGATTGCCAATGCTTAAAACATCAAGTGGATAGAAGTGCATGCTCATGTGATGCAATGTTGTGCAAATGTATTAACAAAAATTATATCAAAGATACCATAGGATCTTATCACTGTTATTGTCTACATATCTCACTTATGACAATAACATCATTATCTGCAAAATTATCTGAACGACAGATTGAATTTCGGTTTGTTTGATTAAATACATTTTTTCGATTTAAATATAAGTTATATATATATAGAAAAATTATATCTTTATTTTTTATTTGTAGATTTCATCATCCGAAAGCTGAGATTACATCAACAATGCGTGCAAAAATGCCACTTTTATCGGACGAAAAAATTAAATTACAAGATGTTGGATGCCAATCTTACTTTATATCTGCGCCGAACGAAATAAAACAATTATTACAATCATTTCCGCCACAAATCAGTATATATGATGTAAATGAAGATGCTAAACCACTGTCATTGTTAACGCTTGACATAAAACCACTGTTTCATCAAGATAAGGTAAATGTTAATATTGCATTTATAAAAGTAATTTTATAGAGCAATAAAACTTAATATTAACTTTTTTTCAGCCCGAGTGTCAATATAAATTACCTCTGTACGATACAGATAGAAATAAAATAGGGGAAATGGATATTACACTTAAATTAGAAAACTGTGGATCGCATTTTATATTAAAAAAAGAAACTGCCGGTAAATATGTTTAAAATTTTATGTACTATATTTTTTATTGCATTATTTTTTAATAACTTAACTAATTTTTGCGAATGTCTTGTATTTATTAAAAAGCCAGCATATTTTTTTATTTAAGAACAAAATTTAGGCCCACCAATATTGGATGACAGCTTAGCGTATAAAATAGTAGATGAGCTCGAAACTTGGAAAGAACGTCAAAAGGAAATGTTCAAAGCTGAGGTAAAACAATAAAAATAATTTTTTATTCAACAAAACATTATTTATATGAAATACATGTTTTGTTTAGCTGAAGAAAAAGGAGGAACGACACTTGAATATGTTGAACGAGGAATGGCGAAAACAAAAAGAAAATTTAGAATCGAAACTTGCATGCAGCGTTGAACAATGCAAGATGCTAGCCAACAGTTTAAACAATGCTACCGAAGATTTACGAATTCGTAGATTAAAAAGCCTGGAAAATGAAACTAGATTGATTAAAGCAAACGAAGATTTACAATGGAGATATGAAACTAAATTACAAGAGCTAAAGGATTCCATGCTTGCAATGCAAAATGATCTTGCATCAAAGGTTTGCCAAATATATGTTTTGGTTGCTTTTGTATTTCTCATTCATCATATATTTAAAGTATTATGAAATATATTTGTCTTACAATGCATGATGTTTCAGATCACCAAACTTGAAGAAAAAAAATTGCTCTAGAGGCGCAAGTAGAAATATTATTGTTTGAAAATGAGAGTTTGAAATCGTCGATGAGTCAACAGAAGGATGAATTACAAATATATCAAGGGTCTTTAGCTCAAGATAAAACTGAGTCTTTGCTGCAAGAGCTAAAAATTCTCGAAGAAAAATTGGAAAATGCCCAGAAGGGGAAGTCATTTTTTAAAGAACAGTGGGGTAAAGCGGTTCGTGAAATACACAGGATGAAAGTAGATTATCAACAAGAAATGCAAGTTCAAATTAAAAATAGTAAAGAAGAATTGAAGAACGCAGAGTATGTTATAGAGCTCTAAATATTATTACTTGTACAAAATGTCTTATTTCAATTAAAAATCATTAGCTGTAGAATCTTAAATAGATTTATGGTTAAACTGAAGCAAAGATATGGTAAAATTATCATTTTTCACGATTATCTTATTCTAAAATTAAACTTTGCAAAGAATCTGTTATTTATCTATTAGAAATCTGTTAGAAATAAAATATTTATGTTTAATACATGTAAGCGTTCGATATTATTTATAAATTTTATTTTTATTTGTAAACAGTTTGGCGGAGATTTTATCTGCGGACACAGCAGCTTTGACCGAGGATCAAATCTTGCTTAACGAACTTCAAAAGGAAATCGACGTCATTAAACCGAGGCAATTCTTCGCTCCGAAAGAAATTTTTATACCAGTCGACAATGTCTGCTCCAAAGTATCTTGGAACGGTAATATGTCTGACAAATCAGAAGAGAACGAGCGGTTACAAGCGCTGAGAGAAGAACGCGACTCCCTTTTAAGGACCGGAAGTTACGCGACTGACGATATAATAATCAAAAAACTTAACACTGAAATACGATCCTTATTGGTAAGTAGGTAGCAAATTTATTCCAATATTTTAAAAATTTTACAACAGAAACAATTAGAAGCTCCGGAAAAAAGCAGATACATGAATTCGGAATGAAACTTCTTATGAAATAATTATACAAGACAATTTTTATACAGTTGTACAAATAAATATTTTGTTAGTAAATCTTTAACCATGGAGCCAATTTTTTTCTTTCACGAAATATGGAAGTACGTCTAAAGGAGCAGGATAGTTTGTTAGCCATTTCGGTCCGACGTGGACTGTCTGTCGATTCATGTCACGCCACCTTCCCGCAGGTAGATAGATATCGCGAGTGATGGCATCCTCTTCGATCACTGGAGCTACCAGTATAGAATCTCCAAGAAGATATTCTGTAATTTAAGCAGTGACATTTAATTACAAATTATTTACAGAACCAGTCGTATACTTTGCTTTCCAGAGTTATTAGTCACCATTTAGCTGTGAATAAAAATCCACAAATAAAAAATGAAGATGTGAAGTGGCTTCTTAGATCTGGAATATCGTATACAATCTTGCAAACTTACCGTCATTAATTTTATGAGCTTCTCTATTGGTTGGATCGACCCACCAAATAGGTGGATTTACAGGTGTGCCCTCAGTGATTGCCTGCTGCATCGCGCTTAGAATTGCTGATGTTTGATTAGCGTGCAAATCAGTATACTTTCTGCAAATAGCGATGGTCTGGTGAAATACAAATGAATGTTATTTCCTTGAAAATTCAGCAAGAAAACTAAATTATGCAACGATATTGCTTGATCCGTCATTCAGTAATTGATCTATCTTAGATAGTATTTTGCAAATTATACTCGCTTCACTGTCGTAATCCCACGGCGTGAAGGAGTATTGCAATGACGGCATGAAGACGTTAGCCTGCAGCCATCTGATGAACAGCTGCTTAGACGGATATTCCGTACCGTTGAGCGAGCCATCTAGGTAACCATTGCCACCAATCATGTCCGGCAACACGTGGACATATCCGTTTAGATTCATCTGCAGCAGCGTTGTGATCAGCGTGGGCAGACCGTTGTTCCACGTCCACCTGGTGTCCTTATCAATCATACGGACGAATATCGGTAAATCCTGGCTGAGCCATCCCACCCGCACCTCGATATTGTTGTCGAAATTAGCCGCAAGCGTCCGGACATAGTCGTGCGTGAATATTCCCGGCTGCTCGGCAAGCGAGCCGCTCAACGTCGGCACTTGTGGTAACCAGGAGACTTCGCCTGCGTCAAACTTGAAGCTGTCAATGCCGAGTTGCTCGATTCGCTTCAATCGGTCTGTCCACCACTTTGTCGCTTCTGGATTCGTGAAGTCAATCGTGGCTGAGTCTGCGCCTAAAGAAGACAAAAACATGCAAGAAATCAATAAAAAATGCTATCACCAAGATGCGTATGTTATTGAAATATTGAAAATTACGATCAAAACAGTCCAATTTGAGAAAAAAAAGTCAGTTTTAAATCGACTCGGCCATCTTACCTTGCCACCATGACATCTGGACGCGTCCATCAATGCTTTTCACGAAGTACGAGTTGTTAAGCGCCGTGGAATAGGCGGGTTCGCAGCCTCGATTAATGAACGGATGTATCCACAGAGTGACGCGGAAGCCCTTATCCTTCAGCCGTTGCGTAAGCGCGGTGACATTGGGAAATTTGACGGGATTGAACTCGGCGGAGCCGTAGCAGGTCTCCCAGTTGTCGTCGATCTCGACCTGACTGTTGTTGAACTTGTTGGCGATGATCTCGTCCGCATACGACTCCACCACTTCCTCAGTGACGTTGGCTTTATATCTGGCCCAAGTGGACCATATAGGATGGCGGATCATCCGTTCATTGGGATGACCTGTCGGCTTGCCTAAATGAGTGCGCACTACATGTAGATGAGCGGCCTTGGGATCCGCAAAGATGCCAAGCTCGTAATCAAGCTCAATGGAGGCACGGTGTGGATAGGGCGCCTTGTTCTTGGCGATCAGGCACAAGTTCTTGTCTTTATAGTTATTCTGGTCGAGGAATAGCGGGTTCGTCTCGTTTACGTAGAGATAGACACCTTTGCTGGATAGCCAGTAACGCTCAGCCAGTGCCATGTTTTCCGGATGCGTCGGCAGATAGGGTTCTTCCTCGTAGTACATGTGTTGCACCGGCCAGTGCTGATACCGAAATTCTGGCCCACCGAACCATTGTGTGCCCTCGGTGAACTGATAGCAGTCGATGAGTTCGGCGAGCGGATTGGCAACCACACGCTTTACGTTGACGATTTCACCGTCCTTAGAAACAGATATGATAACTTGATAGGCGTCGCCGCTGTTTATGCAAACTCTGTCACGACTGCCGCAATTTTGCTGTATCTTAAGATTCAGCGTATCCTGGTGTCCTGGAATCTTCGTGTGAAGAGTATTAACCATTTTCTCGCCATCTGAAAGAAGTATTACAATCATTAGTGTAAAATTTTTTCGTTAGAATTTATGAGAATTAAAATATTAATTTTTATAGAAAGACGTTAAAATTTCTAAAATTCATTAATAATTGATTGATTGATATATCTTACGAGAAAAAAGCATTGAAATTAATTTAAAAATTTATTTAATAAAATAACTGGAAAATAATGTTATATTGTGAGAGATTTACCCCTTTTTATAAGGTTGAGAACTATGACGTTATTAATTACGTTCAATTCAAGAACGCCGTTCTTGATGGGCATTGCAATGCCTGCGTATGCATCCTCGGGTTTGCTTGCGCAAGTTAATGCACCGAACGCGGCGAATAGCAGTAGTATCACCGAAGAACGCATCGCTAAAACAAATGGAACAGACTAATGAATAAGCATTGTGTAATTAAATATAACAAATATTTTGAGCAAACATCACATAGATGTAGAAGGTGATATTCTGTCCACAAATGTCTTACACATATTTTTAATCTTGATTTAAAGAAACTTACTGCTTCGTTCCAACGGCTGTATTTTGTTTGTTACACCATTCCCAACCATTCCCAATTATAACTGAGTTAGTCACGTCAGTTACGTCGGCTTATATATACTTGCTCGATAACAAATAACGTTCTCTTCATTTTTCTCTTGAGATACTGTTGTGTCACTAGATATGTACGTGGCAACTGGATATCTAATTTTTATTTATCGATATCTTTTCAAAAATCTCTTCCATACTTAATTCTGTGATTTTTTATGAATATACACGTTTTACCACATGTACACATTTTTCACACAATTATTTCGTTGCACAATTTTGTTGATTGTATGTCATTTTGATGGTCATATATCATTCAGCAATAATTTGCAAGAATTATTAGCACGTGTTTTCTTGCAATTTTCTCACTTCCTATGTCATAATTAACAATAAATGCAAATTTTTCAGGAAGAATCTAGTTCAAATTGTTTACTGCAACACATAAGATTTGGGAAAGTTTATGTATTAATCATGTTTTCTTGCTTTTATTTACCATATAAATATATAACATTCTATGTATGTAAAAACTGCTATAGTATATTCTCTATGTTTCATGAATAATAATTAATAACGAAGAATAATAAACAGATAATAATAATTAGTATTATTCATTGCAAAATTATATAAATATAGCAGACTAATTGCAAGGCATTGCAGTTGCTAATAATTGAACAAAGTATTATTTCTTCTTTAACAGATAATTATTATTATCTGTTAAATAAGAAATAATATTTTGTTCAATAATTAGCAACTGCAATTAGTCTGCTATATTTACATAATTTTGCAATAAATTCTCGGAAATATAAAAGTAAACAACTCATTGTCAGCTACAAATAAAAAAATTCACCTTAATGAAATTTTTACTACATTGATCACCTGATGGATACGATAAGCATTTTATCCTATCAGCACTGCGCTATCAGTTGCAAATAACAGATTTTATTCGATAAGTCTAAGATCTATTATTTATTATCTATAAAATTATTTATCAGTATGTCAATACATATTTAATATTGAAATATCATAATCAAATTATTATAAAGTTTGGTCATAAATAATTAATAGAACGAATTATAATGATTGGTTTTATATTTATATTTAGATAAGAATTAATCGAGTCTTATTATTTTATGTAAGTAGATTTATTTTGTGTGTCTCAGTATTTAATAATTTATTATATATTATATTAATATATTTTTTAAATAAAAAATATAAAAAGTTTTTTGAAACATGTAGCTATATTGGAAAAACGAGAAATATTCTAGGCACATATATTTCATCGTGCTATGTATACAAGACGTCACTCAGCATTGAATTAAAAGACGAAGTAATTAAAAATACATCCGCTCACGAGATATAATCACTTTGACGCGCAAATTGTCGCGCGATCAAGTGCTTGATAATGAAAAAAGCTCACTGAAATATATTTATCAAAACATTTATTTTCCATATTTACAATAGATTATAGACGTTTTGTGGATTTCGAAATAAATTTCGAATTTTAAATGTATCTACATAACTGATTATGACGTCATCAAGAATGAAGAAATGGTTTATCCGAAACTTGGATCGTGCGTACAATACCTTTACCCAAAATGGAAAAGTCCTCGATCATCGCTAACACGTTTAAGGTGAGTTTACCGTCGACATTGAGTTTTCTGCAATTAGCATCTGACACTTTAAAATCTTTGTGCTCGAGAGCAGTAGGTTTTAACAGAACTCCGATTACTTCACCGCCGTAAGTGTCGTGGAAAAATAAAGCGTGGTCGCCATAACCGTCCTGAAACGAAATGAATAAATAGAAACAGCATTCAAAATATTAAGATATATCGCAATATTTAAATCATAATATAAATTAAGTTTCTTTTTTTTTTAAACGGATGAAAAACTTCGGTGAATTCAACAAGCGTTCATTAATAATTGGTTAATAATCGTTCAGCATACTAACTCTCAAGTCTTTCAAGAAACATTGTACGGGATCAAAGTCCACAACCGGAATTTTTTGAAGAGAATGTGTTTTGTATGGATGTAGATCTACAATTTCACATTTATCAGGTACATCAACTGCTTGCAGTCTTCTGGGGTTCATCTTGGATTTTAAGTATATCAAACAGTCGTATTCTGACAGTGCAGGACGGAACATGGATTTTACATCCAGCACCGTATTTTGAACAACAAGATCGTCGAATAGTCTCAACGATAACTTTGCGAGTACACTTATACGATTTAAGATCAATTGCGACGGTGCTTTCCTGGTCCACAAGGACTTTTGCTGATCGTAAGGAGTAGATAAAAATAAAGGTGGTAACGAATCGCGAGCTGTACCAAATAACGTTTCTACTGCAGAGATTTCTTCATCTGAAATTTAATGTAATATATTATTGCTGTTTTCTTAAGTAATAAGCCGAAAAAGCGAAAATTGTACATTTTCACGTCATTGCTTAATTTTTATCATCAAATTATTTGTTTTGCTTAATGATTTCATAACAATGCATTCGAAACTTTGTAACTATAATGAGAAAACAAAAGTTGAAAATACATCAACTTACTGGTCATTTCACCATTGAAATTAACGATAACAGGATCAGTGTTCCAGTGACTTCTTGCAACAAATTCCAGAAATCGTAAAAATGCTACTTGCGGCATCTGAGCTGGTTTATATGGTTCCGGCATTAGATACACTGAGGCCATGAGTAATTCAATTACAACTTCCGGTATGTGACTTTCGTCTAAGAGCTGTGCCGATAACCATCGTTTTGCCAAACAGCAAGCAGGACCAAACGATGGTTGCTGAGAATGCAATCTACGAGAATATAAGAAAATAAAAAATTAATAATATATTACATGTATTACGTTTTTAAATCTTATCTATCATTTTTTTAAATTTTTATTTATTAGTTAATAATGTTATGGTCGTGTTTTTTATTTAATTCTCAGATATATAAATTTTGTTAATCTTTGGTTTCAAATTTTATTTTAAAATACGACTTTTTTATATATTTTACTATTAAATGCAGCAATAAAAAGATCCAATCATTTTTGCTAAAAATTAAAAAAATTGTTTACAATACAGAGCATATGCTTTTAACACAATCTATACTCTCATTACAATTATCTTAATAACGATTTATCAATTTTTACCCATGCAAAGCGCTGCTCAGTTTTGGTAAATGAAACAATTTGTTTTCCAGCTCGACAGATTCCTCATTGTCCCTGTATTTAATTACTCCCTCTTCATTAATTTGCTTCATTAAAGCGATTTCTTTTTGGTGCGCCACTTTTAATCGGAAAACAAATCCATCCTAGTAAAAAATAAATTTTTTATGTTACAAAAAATTATATAAGATATGTTTATGTTACAAGAAGAACACGATTATATGCAATATTAGCATCTTCTTATTTCCAATGCATATACTTTATACAACATACTATATTATTATATCATACTGTTGATTTTATCTATCACATTTAATTTAGCATTATCGTATTTACCTGATACACATCTACATGTAAGAAATTTGCTTGCGCTTTTAATTGATGTTGTTTCCTAAGGCATTCCGCGATTTGTATGTGAAACGCCGCTTTCGTCTTCTGAATAGCTTCCAATTCCTCAGGCCATTTTCCACTAGTTGATAACTGCAATGTTACATCAAGCGCGTGAACATAAGCAGGGGACTTTGCAAGGTTCTCCGAAAGGATCAAACAATTTTTGCCATCCTTTGTGATCCGTTTATTAGTACTCCGATGAACGGTAGCAAGCGGCGGAAAAACTTCTGTGTATCGAAAAACCGCGCTTGAGCCTTGAACGCCATTTATCGTCAGAGGCATATCGTTCAACGACATCAAATTCTTTTCTAAGACATTAAAAGCTTGTAGAGTTTTCAGCGTAGCTTCTTCACCAGTGCCATACACGAAGTGCGTTATCTTATACTAAATAGAAATATAAATCATGAAATACGCATAATATAATAATTGATGACAGAAAAAATAATTTCAATTAAAGATAATGTATAAATATAAATGCTTTCATAATAATCGTGACATTACCTTACGCAACTTTAACAGATCTTCTACTTGATTCGCGATATACAAATACTGATTTCTGATAATATTAAACTTTGTTTTTAATAAAAATTCTATGATCTTCTTGCATATTATTCTTTTATCCGCGATAGATTTGCCTTTTGACCAAACCATAGCCTCGCGAATGGATCCGTCTTGAAATCTACGTAATTCGGACTTGTCTCCCCAAAATTTTCTGAAGTCAGCTGCCTGCAAAATAAAATATGGATATTGTAAATAAAATTTAAAGTGATAAATATTAATAAGTTATTATTTTAAATTTAAATAATTACTGCTCTATCTTGTTATCTTATTGTTGAAAATTTATTTCAACTATTTACTTACTTCTGGTAAATTAGCTTCAGGTCCTTTGTCTACGATATTAAAACACGTTTCAGGATTCAATTCCAATCCAATAATGAGCTTCCCGATATCATTTGGTGCATTATTAGTGCAGTCCCATTCTTTAGAGTCACTAGGTAACACGCATAATCGATTAATTCTGTGTCCAAGGCCTTTTTCCAAAACTTCCACAAATATCTTAATCGCCTGACTGCGTTTGTCAGGTCCATAATTAATTTTATTATCAATGCTAGATTTATCGTTCACCATTTTCTCTAAAACTGCTTTATCTGAGAAGCTGTATACATAAAAAAAAATTTTTTTAAATAAGTTTGGCACTCTTGGTATATAAATTTAAATAAAATAGTAAATAAAATTTTTCTCAGATGAGTTACCATAAAATTTGATCAAACGCTCTATAAAATGGTACATTTCGCATAAAAAGCGCTTGAAAACTATCCACGTGTATATTATCCAAATGCTTCAAGCACAGCTCCGCTTCTCTCTGTACCCATGAGAAAGTATTTTTCGACAGAGTCGCCGCAAAATTGTGATAACTAGTAGTATCAAGAAAAACACAATCGTAATAATTGTGATAGTGGGAAACTTGTTTCTGGCTATCTTTGTCCTCACACAAGGTAATCCCATTCTCACACCAATTTCCCTGTGCTGTTCCAAATAAAGACAATTATCATTATGTGGATATAAAAGAATATTAAAAAATGTTAATTATTTAACAGTTTCTTTAAGTTTCTTACCTAAGCAAATCCAAACGTTCCGCACAATCTGATAACTACTCATAAAAGTATTAAGCTTCTTTATGCGCAGTAAATAGATTACAAACATAGCCACAATGTGATTGGTAAAACCATCGTATCCCTTGTTCAAGTCACGCTGGCGCAGCCATATCTTTAATAAGATTATGCCATCTCTCAAATTTGGATATTCTCTAATTATTTGCGCAACTTCGCAATTTATATTTGACATTACTAAGTCGCGCAGTATTAGAGAATTATAGTATGGTGTGGGCGGTAAAGATGCTGCAGATAAAAGATATAATACATAATATAAAAATTGCTGTCTTATGTTTGCACACACAATAACAATTGTATATATAAATATAAATAATTTTTCATGAATATATAAACTCACAATCTGAAAATTTCTTATCAAAATACCATCCTGGTCTAACGCTATTTTTCTCAGGCAGAAATCTATTCAGTTTAAAACTGCTTTCCTGTGCAGATATGTGTATCACTACATCCACTTTCTTATTCAATTTTCCACTAGGTTGAAGCTTTAAGGAAGGTCTTAGATCATCGCCGATAAACTTCTTGCTCTCTGCGATATCACTTCCTATAGCTAATGTTACAAATGTCAGATACATCGCTTTCTTTCTGAAATATACATAATTTTGATAATCCTGTTTCCGGAATGAACCAGCTGGCATTTCCACCATTACATCCACAGTAACAGTAGGTCCAACAATGCATCCTGAATTGTAAGATCCAATGATACTAATGTTAGACGGTTTTAAAAATTTAAAAACACTATTACTAGTTTCCACTGGCACATGTGGCACAGGAATGCATATGGATTTATCCTCCAAATTGTATTCTACAATCTAAAATTAAAGTTTTAATATTATTGCATTGTATATTAAATACAATTAAATTAAAATCATTATGAGATATAAGGAATAATTAAGTTAAATTACTAACCGGTACTTCTGCAGTCTCTTCAATAGATTCAATTGCTGCTTTCAATTTCTCAAACCAGATTTCAAATAATGCTTTATACTTATTTTTAAGTTTGACTTCATTAAGAACCTCTTCGATTTGAAGTCTAAATAAATTTGAATGAAATAAGTTCTCAGTTTCCCTAAGTTGATTGAGTTCTTCTACTGTTGGTTGTTTATAAAGACTATTTTCAAATTTTTTCTTCTTTTTAGGTGCCACTTCAATTAACTCATCTGTTACTTTTTTTCTTTTATTTTCTTGATTCATTGTTTGAAATTCAACCTCATGATCGCTCAGTATTTCTTCATCACTATCCTTTTCTTTGTGATCCATTCTGTTTTCTTAGATTGGATCAGGTTAGATTTTTCACCACGTGTAATCAAAACCAAACTTTAACCATGCTTGCGTCTCATATCTGGCATCACTGCCACTGCATCGGTCCTTTCGCCATGTTTATGTGCATAGATAGTGCTGCAACCTACGGTTCAAAAAATCGCGGAAGGCATCATAACAGACTTTAAGTTTTTAACAAATGAGTAAACCTACAAAATAAGAAAATTTCCAACTTTTAAATAAAATATGAATTTTGTTCACTTTAAAAAACTCTGTATACCTAAAGTTATCATTGATAGATTAATATATAAATGTACAAAATGATTGTAGTCAGATTGAGTAATTTCTCATTAAAATATATCCTGTATATAAAAACACATTTTCGCAATTTAAGTCTTCAATTTGAAATTCTAGACACCTTGTACATTATTTATACTAATAAACTATTACATTATGATCAATTAACACGCTCTCTCTTGAGATATCGATGTTATATTTCACCATCAGTAACATTCTTCAAAAGAATTGTACATATTGTAACAAAAATTAATTAATTGTAGAATAGAACTTAATATATCTATAGGCTCTAAATATACAAAAATATATCGCATTGTTATTATAATTGTATATATGCATACGCTTCTTTCTGTGATACAAGACAAGAAACGCATGCATCTTACAAAAATACAGCAATGTATATACATAATTATGAATGAACAATTCAGATCGTATTAATAAAAAAATACCTTAATGTAAGATCACTAACAATAAAATATGTTAATAATTGATCAAATAAAAAATTCATTGGTTCAATAATAAGCTTACAAATATACATACCGTTTGCTAAGTTATTTTAGAAAAATGAGGATTCTGGCAGCAAATATTTTTATCATGTTTAGAATTGAGACATTGCAGTTGTAAAATTATATTTTTATAGGAACATTAAACATCATCACAATTAAACTGTATACACAGAGATTAATTGAAATTATATTTATAATTTTTTTTTTAATAATCCTCATATTTCTAGTTACAAAATAAAAATAACGCAATATATCCCTGTAACGCTTTATGTACTTTGATGTATCTTGAAAATATAATGATCTATCTGTATGCACATTGGAAGCCCATTTCTCTTTAAAGGAAGAATAAGAACGCGAAATAATAATATGTATGAGAGAATTGTGAGAACATATTGATTAAACATTTGCACAATCGCAAAACATTTAAATCATATGCATAAATTTCTATAAAAAAAAAGACTAATTTTCAATATATGATATATTATTACATAAAGATGATAAATTCTTCCTTCAAGTAATTGAATACCGTTTCTACAAAATATAATGCATTTTGACAGTAGACAACCAATCACACAGCTAGTTTTATAACAAATTAAAATTTTAATGATAAAAACACATCACATTGTTATAATTAATTTGCTATTAACAAATTCTGCGTAATATTACAGAATTAAATGTTTCTAGAACCAAACATATCGAGATCCTCAATTATGGAAAATATTATTTATCTATTAATTTCTAACAAACAAATTCATATTACTATCATATTTAACTCAGTAACTTTCTAATCCTGCCATAATATCACATTCTTCTACAACCTTTATTGCACAATTCCGTACTATGTAAAATAGTATAAATTAATAAGCTGTAAATTAATAAGCTTGTATCGATAAGAAAATATAAGTGGATATACTAGTTAACAATATAAATTTTTCTGTCTTTTAATGCTGAAACACGAATATAAAAAATATAGAAACTGAGGAATTACTTTGTAACAATAAAACAATGTCCTGGATTATGCAATAAAGGGAGTATTAATATAACTCTTTATCATAATGCTTGCGATATGCCAACATACTTGCATAAATTTTACGAAATTCTCTAAAAAATTCAGATAAAATTCTCATCAAATCTGTATTAGAACAACAAGCACATATGATGAACAAGTGATACAATCCTCTGAACAAGTGCTTATGTATAAAATATGTGTCTCTTATGTTATATTAATGTCATGTAATATTTCCCAGTTGAATTTCTTGTAATCAAATAAAAAAACCTGTCAGTTTTCACGTAAAATTGAGACAAAGAATGTACAATTAAACAGATTGACAGTGATATATACATCTTAATGATTAAGATCATCGTAAAGCCCTTTATGATCACATTAAATTATCATAGAGGAAAAATATTTACTACAGTTCATTGCGCACTTTGGGAGAGAATATAGTACATCACTTTTTCTATACATCAAAATTACACTAACAGAAGAAAATTGCGATGTGAGTTTGTATTTTCTATTATGAACAAACAATATAATATATATTATTCAATCAACTATAATACGATAAAAGAAATTAAATGTACAAATTTACATGTTATAACTTTTTTGTCCGTTTTGTTTTCCTTTTAATAAAACAAAACATTTCGTAAATTGATACTCAAACAATGAACACGCACATCTTATAATTAAACAAATCAACTGCATCGATGAAACAAGATCATACAGATACAAATATTTGTACATAAACGCTACGTGATTGGTCCAATCGTGATTAAACCAATGACACACATACACATATTTGCATATATACTTAGCACTCCCTGTTATAAATTAAATATCGTATTGTTACATTCTCGTTTGATAATTAGATCATGTTAATTTTTCTTTATTTCTTTTTTATTATCCACATTTTTCTCTTTAATTGCATGTAGACAATATTTTATATGTAACGAAAAGTACGAAATAAATTGAGAAAAAAAATATGTCTTTCAATACTTCAAATTAAATTAACATAAGAAATTGCACATTTTTGCATTAATACCACGATATATGGTCCAAAATCTTTAACTATCATTTTTTTCAGGAAGTACAATTTGTTTATAATTCAAAATTTAGCAATTATGCGGGAGTCAACTCTCACACAGAAATTTATAATATAGAAAAGATTTCTCGTATTCATGTACTTGTCTTGCTAAAATTGTTTCAGATTTAGATGTAGATATAGAAGTGCTCATAAATTATTCTATAAAATTCGCTCAGGTTTGCAATTTATATACATGAATTTTTGTAATTGGTTTTACATTACTTTCAGGCATATATCCCGCTTCTGATAGTTTTGAGACAGTTCTAATAAAGTGTTTCATCTGCAGATATGACCGGTTCCTCGTCGCTCCAGTCACTGATAGCCAATCCTACTGATCCATGAAAACTTTGCGATCTTGCTACATGGCTAAAAAATTAGAAATATATATATAATATAGTTACATAAGTTACATATAGCATGAATAAGTAAAGAAACAAATCAAAAGCTCATTTATTTTAGTTACGCACCATCTTATCAAAAGAAAAAAAAAACTGTTGCGATGTATGTTTACATCGTACATTATCGCTGAAGCTACCTGATTAAATCAAATATAATCTCTTTTCTTATTAAACAAATAAAAGTCAATGTTAGAATAGCTATATTTATTTATATTTATATTACAATGAAATGTAAATACTACATTTCTTTCCTAAAAAATAATTACGATCCTTCGATTTTTTTGTTACGGTTTTGTTGCTGCGCTTTTATCATCAAAAAATGATTAGATGGTAATAGAAAAAGTGCAAATACAACATATCGTTAAATTAAGTGAAAGAATGCAAAACTCAGGCACAACATCTCTTCGGTCATTCTGAAAGTCTTAATGTAGCAGAAACTTTCAGTTAGTGCAATATAACAAAGAAGCATCGCGTGTCAGTAGAATTGTTTTTTATTTTTTTAAAAGCGGAAAACACCTATTGGCTGTACCTCTTCAGGGAATCTATAGCACAAAATGTTCAAACAAGTTTGTACCATACCACTTGCTTGTTTTGCCACACTATTTTTAGACTATCGATCGCTATCCACCCTAACAACACAGTAAAATGATTATCTTCTCAATTGTCTTCTCAATTAGAATAATGAAGTAATATAGACAAAATGCAAAACCCCAAAAGACGTCTGTACGATGACTTTCAGACTTTTGTATTATCTGGAAAAATTCTTCATGACCTTTTCTTTTACGAAAAATATTCAATGACTTACCTCGGTGACAGATTTGAATTGATATTTTTCTTCGCCAAACCCGCTTTTCTCCTTCCTTCCATTGCTGCTTTCATGGGATCGTAGCTTTTGCGACGTTTCCAGTTTTGCATTTCGACTTCCCGTACGTTTGGTGTCGGAGGCTTTTTCTGTTCCTTTGGCTTGCTTTTAGGCCCCTACACACATATTATGATTAGTTAATTTGTACTTATATCAAAAATAAAAAGATGTTACATTTATATAATTATAATATATAATTTAATTATAATAATTAAATTATATATATAATTACTATAATATTTTATATTTATATCAATGAAAAGATATAAACTTACCATGCTTGAAGCTCTATTAACTCGCGCACTAGATCGTCCAGAATCTATTCTATTGGTGCTGGAAACGGACTCGGACTTGTTACGAACGTCGTGCGATAAATTTTTAGCTTTGTTTATATTGGAAGACACAGGTTTTGTTCGTTGCAGATCTAATTTTGCCCTACGCATACTGAAAGAAACGGAATCGATATCAATATCATTGAAATGTACGTCATGTATGTCATGGCGAGGCACACACACACACACACACACACACATACCTAAAGTCTTTGTATTTAGAGTTGCAGAGAGAAGATTGCGGGATAGGATGCCGCTGTTCATCGCTGCTCTCCGTGTCGCTCGGATGGCATAATCCTTTCGATATGTTTTGATGCAGGCTGTGACTCGTATCTTCATCACTCTCGTTATCGGAATCTAGTGGAGGGCAATATCCCGTCATGCGAGCAGACATGGCGGACACGACGTTTTGTGTCGTTTGCAGATAGGACGAAGTTTCCAAATCACTGTCGCTCTCCTATTAATCATAGAATTAATAATATATATAATATGTACCACTAAAAAAATAGCAAAGTTCACTGAGATATAACAAAAAAAAAAAAAGAAAAGAAAAACAAAAAGAAGAATACAACAGCAACTGAATTCACTAATTTGCTAAACTTTAATTATAATTATAATTTATTATCTCAACGTACCAATTGCGGACTGCTAGGCGGCGGCACTTGATTATCTTCGTAGGGATAATTTAATTCATTGTCCGACCAGTCGTTGGCTAATGAGAGAGTACCTCCTGTACCATGAAAACTTGCAGATCTCAGCACAGAACTGTCATGGCTAGAAAAAATACGAATCGTAATTATCGAAAATGCACTCGTCATCGAACGCTGTGTATACACGTATACACTCACTGTCCAGAACCGTCCTCGGTACTATGATGTTTCTTCGTGCTGTCTATTAATTTCTTTCTACCTTCGGCCGCTGCTTTCATCGGATCGTAACTTTTCCGTCTCTTCCAATTTTGAAACTCTACCTCCTTGGACGTAAGAGTGGAATTGCTTCTAGTTGATTTCTTGTGGTCTTTACTTGGCTTTTGATTTGTTTTCTGACTAATGGAAGGATGCTTTAAAAAAAAATTAAAAAATTATGTTTAAAACACTGTACGGAAATGTTAATCGCTTATCATACAGACGTTGACACTTACATGAGCGGACTTCGGTGCCCTCATACTAAATCTCCCGGTATCAGTCCTAGACATGGACGGTGCTCTGAATTTCGTTGGCTCTGGTTTCTTCGATAACTCTTTATTGTGCGCCCCGACACTATTTGTGCGACTACGATGATAATTCTGTTGCTTATTCGCGGGTGCTACAGTCTTTATCTCGGATTGTGCTCTCCTGCGTCTTTCTTCCGGGGTCGTATTCGGCGTTGTATCGGATTCGCAATTTAATCTGCGAACAATACAAATTGTTTAACTTAAATAGTATTCCGTAAAAGCCTGGAAGTTTATGCTTTTTAATAATGACAAACATCGGTTTAACTCTTACATAAATTTTTACATACCTCGCTCTTCTTATGCTGAAAGCTCTATTTAACTTGATTCCAGACGAGATTGGCATTAGAGGGGATTTTCCTTGTTGCTCGCCAGCTTCGCTACTGCTGTCAGAGGCGACAGCAAACTTTCCCCTCGATGATATTCTGTCAAAGTCGCTGTTATTAAAACTGCTACGACGCGACACCATATTCTGCGACTTCATGTTTCTAATACTCGCGTTGCTCGATGATCTTTGTATATTGAGATGCCGTTGAAGTTCTGGACTGTTTCGCAACATATTAGGCGCTTTAATAGGCATATCCTTATCAAAATAACTAGTTTCTTCATGATAATTCGTAGTGCTGTTAGATTTTCGCAACATATATGGACTGTAAAACAATAAATTAATTTTTAAAGCATAACATTTAAAAATTAATATATATATATATATATACAAAAAACTATATACCTATTTTCGACGCACGTAAAATATCCTATATTTTTGGCTTGTTGAGACGACTTCGCCAAGTGTTTAGGTCTTTCCAACATAGGAGAATTAAGCATCTTCGTTGTAGCAGCCTTGCGACTCACGATTGGACTGTTGGTCAATTTTGGCGTAGGCGGTCTAAGACGACTTAAGATGGGACTATTTGTATGTTTGCAGTCTTCTTCTTTATGATACTTCATACTATTTCTTCTGGACGTATTAGATTCCGTTGTATCAGAAGCACATTCTTTCCTGTGTTAAAAAGAAAATTTTTTAAAGTAAGAAAGTTTGATGATTACATAGCCGGAAAAATACATTTGCCAATGACAAACATTCTTGTTAGTAGATGCGATTAAAGAATAGGTATAAAAAGAGTATAATTAATTAATAATTTGGCACTATTGCAATATAATACAAAAAATGAATCACTCACCTATCTAAAGAACTGCTTCTTCTTTCAAAATGAAGAGGTGATAAAACTTGGGACGGGCTTTTCAATAATTCTACATTGGTATCAGCAGTTTTTGATTTGGCAGAACTCATGTATTTTCGAGCGCTTCGCCTAGTTTCGTTGCTGTTTGCTCGTCGAAATAAAGACTCGGACAAGCTACCGCGTCGAACGTGCACAGGTGTACGTTGTGAGCTATTGGGCGGTGTGTTGTAACTATTGCTGGTGTCGTCGTCAGATTCACCGCCGGAGTCTATAATTTGATGCTGACTCGAGATCAAACCCATCCTTTCTTTTATTCGTACATACGTATCCGTATCGATATTATTATCCGGTTGCTCCTGTACACAGAATAATAAAAACTTTAGAAGAAAAAGAGAAAAATCACAAGATAATTAAAAGATTTAAGTCTTAAAGCGATAAAGATGGATTGTTTTAATTCGAAGACTTTGAATTTTTATAATTTCCTTTTATCTCTATTTCTCGCTCCCTTCTCTCTCCCTACTATTCCATAGATATCTCATGTCTATATACTTAAAATTGTGTGATGCGTACATAACGGTTACGTGACATTCGTTGAGATCTAGCATGAATCGGAGATGGTATCTTGGTGGGACTCAGAGGTGGTGTACGTCCCGTTGAGCCACCTATTAACGGAGGTAACGAGTTGTGCTCGGCTACTTGAGTAGCCCATTCCGATATCCACGCGTTATTATCGCGAGAAATGCTCATCTGTAAATCAGATTGTTCCGTAAATATATCTGCACAAACTATGTAAATACGTAAACAAATGCACATTATATTTACCTTAAAATTGTGAACATATGTCTCGTTGCTCTCATCTTCTGTCAGAACACCGACACTGAAAACTTTATCGATATCCATTCTCGCTTTTTCCTCATCAGTATAATCTTTGTGAATCGTATAGGTCCCAGCTTCACTCACTGCACCATCGGAACCAGCATCGATATTGCTGACGTTAAATACATCCAGATTGGTCTCCGTTATGATATCTGCATTCAGATCCAATGTGTAACTGACGCTCGTTAAGTTGTTGTCCGTTTCGTTTGCATTTTTTATATTAAAATCATCGGTAATATAATTCATATTAGATACTTTATTATCTTCAATATCATTTATTTCCTTGCATTCGCGATCTATTTCAATGTACTCGATATTCTTCGTGTATTGCTTTTCATTTTCGTCGTCATCATAATTGCTAATTTGAATACGACTTAAATCATTTATCGTTGCAGATCTTTGAGATGTCCAGTATATGTTTTCATTGGATTCAAGTTCTAAAGAGAGGCTATGAGGTGACAATGATTTGTTACGCCGCAATTCATCATCGCAGGATTTTGTCATTGAATTCTGCTTATTTTGATGACAGGGGCCTTCATTCGAAGACTTCTTTGTGCTAGAATGTGCTCTTGAAAGATTCTTGATGCCTAAAAAATATGTATATAATTTCAATATTAATTAATATTAAAATAGTAAATAAAGTTATTTATAAATATATACATATGCAGTTTTTCTAACTTTTTGTATTTGTAATTTGAAGACAATGTATGTGTATTACATTTAAAAAAATATATTATCTTATATCATAACATTTCATAGGCCTAGAATTTAAAAAATGGCCTAGAATATTAAAATATACATTTTATTCATTTTTATGTTTTAAAATCTTATACTGATATAAAACTTTAAGAATAGAAATGAATACAATGTATATTTTAATATTCTAAATCATTTCTTTGTTTAAAATATAAGATTTCAATGCAGTAAAGTTTCCACTCTAAATGTTATAATATAAAAATTTTAGACATAAAAATAAATAAAATATACATTTTAACATTGATGTTATGTTCTAGTATTACTAAAAATAAAATTGAAAATATCATTAATAATTTCTGATAAATCTCATATAATTCTCAAGGTAGAAACAGTTATGACATCAAAGTCATTAATATGTCAGCAGGCTACATCATTCAGTATGGACAGAAGATACTTGTAAGGAATATTAAAAGGCTTGAAGAAGGCTTGAAATTATGAGTATATTATATGACTCATCCATTATAAGTATTCAACTTCAATATAGGATTGAGAATTCACTACTCTTTGTAAAATTAGTCATAAATTTCATAATAAATTTTGCAAGCTACCAATATTTAAAACGTTCACAGTCTGAATTCTGTTTATCAAAGTATTGTACTTTTGAAAATTAAATTTAAAAAATTGATAAATTTTGATCATAATCATTTTATTACACTTAATAAAATTAATTAAATTACAAGATAAATAATGTCTGGTCTCTTTTTCAATTTAAAACAAGTTAGTTACAAATAATTTAAAAGAATTATTCTTCAAAAGCTTAGAGAAATGAAAGTAATATATATATTTACCTAATTGTTTAAGTCTTTCTGATAATTGGTCAGTTTTTCGCTTTGTATCATCCTCGCTACTAAAGTAACCTTCTGAATGAGTGCTAGGAACTTTCTGCTTTTGCACCAGGTTTGGAGAAAGTATAGTACTTGGCTTCTTCGATTTTACTTCCACCTAAAAATACCATTACAATATATTCATATTTTATAAAACTCTTCAATGAAAAAATTTGATGCTGCATTGCCTATGTTAATGATGATCATGCATATATTAAGATCATATTAAATAGTAACTCTTAAAAATTTATAATAATTTTATATTATAATCTATTATAGAAAATGACAATTATAATTTGTAAGACAACATTTATGGGACATCAAATATTTTTCAGAGGTAAGTGTAGTAACTTTGAAATTTAATGTGTCGTATAAAATCACTACTATGCATTGTCAGAATCCAAACATCTGTTTAAAGATGTACATATATTGCTCTGACTTCTGTTGAATATAATTTCTGATATAAAAAATATTAGTAAACTATTATTAATAAAAAAGAAAATAAAATACATATGCATTATGTAATTTAAGATAAAAGATTATAAAATATCTGTGGCTAGAGAATAATATTGTTTATTATTTATAGTTTTATTAATGAATTTTTTAAATGCTTTTTCTGACAATTTAACATAATATAATTAAATCACTTTACCTTTGAAATACAAGTATTTAAATCCATCATTATTATCTCTTTAAATAAACTCTTTAACTGATAAATTAAATCTCAGATGTATTCCATCGAATAATCAATATTCAGAATATCATGATTATCTTTCAAATTTTCCTTATTAATGCTTTAACTCTTTAATTATTCAAGCACACTGATTATATTTATTCTCTTTTATTTTTTAGCAATGCATACACATACACATATGCTAAGTTTATTTGTATTAATTAAAGAGTTAAATCTATATGTAAAATATTCATGGTAGCAAGATATTAAAAATGACGAAATTGTGAATACCTTGGACGTAGAGAGATTTCGCTTGTGCCTGGCATTGTACCTCTCGAAAAGATTCTGATACCTCGCTGTGTCCACTTCCTTGTTGTTACCGAAATCAATGGTGAAAGCCAACGGAGTCTGAGCACCTTGGCTACTGCCGGCATTTTCCATTGTTGCTTCCGACGATTCGGTCCTGCGATCTTCCGATGCCGCTTGTGATGAATCGGCAATTTCCTCACGTTTCTCGCTTACGACATTACTGCTGTCAGAAGCACCAGTACATAACCCGTCGTTCGTCGATCGCGCCTCCACGGATTTCTCATCGCCACCCGTTATATCGTCGGCGCGCGGCTCATTCTTCAACGTGTCATCGTTGATCTTCGAATTAGTATCGTCGGCTTCCATCAAATCCGTCGAGAGACAAGTGTCAACCTCTCTGGTCGCGTCCGACACTTCCATGTTCACTGCCATTTAACATGCCAATCGTAAACATCCGTCGAGACGAGCGGCGCGATCGCACAAACTGATCTGTCTTACGGTATTCGATTCACGAAAGCCACTCCTACGCGCGCATCAAGTGTATCGCCGCGCGCGCGGCAGGTCCCGGGCAGTGTCACGATATAGCATACACGAGATTCCTCTGACACATCAGTACAGGTGCGTCTACTATACATATGTTATCGACTGCCATTGACCACTGTTGACGGCTAAAAATGTCAACATTCACCGCCGGCAACTTGGCCGCGCGAAAATCACTACAAACTACATTTCTTTTTGCATAAAAATGAGATTAATGCATATTTTTGCATTTTCCAAAATGTAAAAAAATTTGTTTATTCTAATTACATGCAAGCTACGCTTCTTGCATTCTAAATGAGATAAATATGTACTGGACATCGATTGCGTACACGCAATGTAACACCCTAGGGTCTTTAAAGGTATATTCAGACGAACTTGCATAAAGAAATGGACCAATCCAATTCTTTACGTACATGCTTATGCGCTTTTGCAAGTTTGGCTGGATATACTTTAATACACACGGTTCTCGATTGAGTACGTTACTCTCTCTATATGATTTATACACGGTTGCTACATGTATGTCGCGGCTTGTGCATGTGTGCGGTATTCCCTCCCCAAGCAGCTGATTACATTATTGTATGCGCTGATGATGTTAGATGATGTGCTGAAAGTGAGAGTAATAAAAACAACAGAGAAAAAATTTAGAAAATATAGTTGTTGAAACTAATTAAAAGTTTAAAATCTAAATAAACACTTAGTTAAATATGCCGAAAGTAGTATCAAGGAGCATTATATGTTCCGACACAAAAGATCAAGAAGAATACAGTGAGGAGAAACCATTGCACATTTATTATTGTTTATGTGGCCAGATGACACTAATTTTAGGTAAAGAGGTAAAAATATATATAAGAAAAACAAAGAATTAATCGTTGAATTGTGATTTTTAGACTGTGCAATTGAAAAGCTACCATTGAGAAAAAAGGATGGAGCAAGAGTAATCGATGGCAGCAAACATGCTCATAAAATGACTTCAGAGCGAGATGAAGTTATATTTCTAAAACGTCCAGAGGGAATCGAAAGACAACATAGACAAAAGTGCAAAAAGTAAAACAAATATTTTGGAAAAATAATTTGTGAGATTTATAGAACATTAAGTATTTAATATATAATATAACTTTATTTATGTTTGACAGATGTGGCTTATTGCTGTATTATAAGCATGATCCAGGAGCAAATATAGTATTTGTAGTAAAAGGATCAGTAATAAAAAGTTCTGGAGAGGGTCCTATGACGGATATTTATAATCAAGTAGCTATTGAGAAACCTAAAAAAATAATGGTTACAAAACATACCAAGAATATGGGAAAGTTTAGTTCGGTTACTGTATCTACAATTGATGAAGAAGAGGATGAAATTGAAGCAGTAAGTCAATTGTATTTTATTATATATTACATATCGTGTTTTATGTAGCAAGCAATTTAAAGTTTATACAAAGATAATTCTACAAGTTAAAATAATACAAAGTGATAACTGTGGTAAGATGAATATTAAGTCTCTTTAGTAATAAATAATAATCTTGTGCAACATTCAGAACTATAATACAATGTGTTTTATAGTACATGTGTGTAAACAATAATACAACACAAATTTGATCACAATCTTAATATTATTTTTATATTAATTTACTTAGAAAAGTGTAAAATAGTTAAATTTTAATAATATCTTCTTTTGCACATTTGTTAAACTATATACGAAGTAGTTAGATGTCAATGTTAGTTTTTCATTATTATTAAATATGTGTATATGTATATATATAAAAATTGCAATTTCAGAGGGAAGTTGCTGACTCATATGCAAACAATGCACGCATTATAGAGAAACAATTGGAGAGAAAGGGTATGAATAAACGAAAAACGTTACCATCCAATGAAACAGATTCAAAACGAGCAAGACCCAGAGGGACGTTATTGGATATTTGATTTTCTATCGAGAATTAATTGTAATTACATACATATATATACTTGACATGAATAAATAAATTTATTTGTACATTATCACAGACCAATTGATTCCAACACTTTTTTCAATGAGTTTTTCGAGAAATTTTTCACAAAGGAACACTAAGGGTTTAAAATTATATGAAAACATTTAACATTATATCGACATATTTATTAACATTACACAAAAGTAAATATTTAAAATATATAAATGACTAGATACAAATATTGCATAAAAATTTACATTTGCAAAATTAGATATAAGTTTAATAAATAAATACATTACGAACGATTCATTGATAAATAACTACGAGCGAAGAGGATGTAATTTTCCTGCTTACAATCGGAATTAGTTTATAAGATGGCAATGTCAATTAGTAATAATTAAACGTCTAGTGAAACTGATATTTGGAATATTATAAAATAATTCTGAATGATATGGCGCATTTACGTGGTAGAATGGAAGAGCTATCTAAATAAATTGCATAACTGGCCACGTTTTTTATCTATAGATTATAAGATGCTGCATGTGCAGTACTACGAGACTTTAATGCATACATGTAGTCAAGATTTTGCTCATTTAAAGACATAATCCATTCATAATCAATATACAATTATCATATTTCTTCACTTATATTCTAATTGTGCAATACACAGAATAATCCAAGAAAAATGTAACTTGATTACAAGTCTTTGTTCTGGAATAAATTGTTCTCTGAAAATTTAAAGAATATCTAATTATCTGATAATTGAGAAATATATGATTCTATATAGAGTCATACTTAAAAATTTTGAGAATCACAGAATTTAAATAAATTAGCTTGCAAGAGTTTGAAAGTTCAGAAGTTTGCGGATTCTGAGAAAAAAATTATGAATGACGAAATAAAAATTAATATTCTGCAAAAATGGAACGTGTATTATGAGAAGAACAAAGACTTGATACATTTTTTCCAGAGACCAACCTGTATATTTTATTTCACTGAGATTATGATCCGCGTTATCGTGTTGTTAGAAGAGCAGAAAATATCAAAGAAATCGTTTATCTAAAGTTTAAAAATTGTTTTGTCATTTAGAGATGACCGTCTTTTTAGCGTCATAAGAGAGTCATAGCACAGTTCCTATTTAACTAATAAATGCCGCTCGAGCGTGTTTTTCTTAACGATAATCTCTCAAGCTTCCTTAAATTAAAATTATATTTCTCTATTTTACACATAATACGATTCCTCAATTGGAATTATCACGTTCGCAATTGCCAGCGATAGTTCTTCGTCAAATAAAACTTATTAAGATACGCATACCTGACGCATTGTCGACGTAGCAAATCCAATAGAAATATAAATAAAATTATTCAAAATTAATAAATACAAATTATAAAATATCCATGATAAGATAATATATAGCAATAATAATATCTCAGATCATATCACATTTAAACGTATATAAAGTATATAAAGTAAACGTATATAAAGAAATGTTTTACTAAAGCAACATGAATAACAATATCAAACTTTTTTTATTCTAAATTTGTCGAGAGCAGTTTTCTCCTTTACAAAAACAATTGATTTCTGCAGTAAAAGTTGGAGACACTACACTCTGATACGAGCTGTATAGAGCAAAACAAGCAACAAAAATATAAATAAACAACTATTCTGATTTACAGAAAATTCTATATTGAGAAATAAAAATATTCTATATTTTATTATATTATTACATAATCAGATCAACTTTTGGTCAAATGTTTTGTAAATAATCATATATTTAATAACATTTCTAACAATGTTTCAATAAAATAAAAGAGATATCAACAATAGAATCTTTTCTAATGCTGATAAATATGTAATATCATGAATACATAAAAGGAAATATCACGTCGACAATGCGTATTCTTTCAATAAAATTATCCAGTCATCAAAAGTGCATTAAGTATTAATTTGTGATGATTTAATATCTACCTTCTTAAGTATCGTAGGTTCGTCTTTGAGGAATGTGCCAGATCTCGAACCTACCGTAGGTTGCTTCTGTGTCTCCCCATTATGGCACTTTTTAATCTTATCGTCGACCTTACCAATTCGCTTACCAGTGATCATCGACTTGTTTGACTTATTCGCAGCGCCGGATTTCGGGGAGGATTTCTTGCTGGGACTGTCGGAGCTCTGCGAGTTTTGCGTCTCCTTCCTCTCTCTTCTCATGTTGGGAGGACAATTTGTTTGCGCGACTTGTCGCATCCTGATGGGAGTTATTGTGCTCGTCGGTTTGCTGGAGATGTCCGGCGTTTTCGCAGCATCCAGTAAGCTTCTACGTAAACTCGGCGAACCTTGATACGTACTGCTGATAGCAGCAGCTCTACTGCGACTGGCAGCGGTGGAACTTTCCAATGATCGCAAAGGCCTCCTGGTAACTGTTAATGGACTCCTCTGCTGTGTTGGTGGCGAACTCTTTTTCGTCCTGCAATCCATTTATAAATTAATAAATATACAAATCAATAAATCCGACTACTTATATTTACTACCATAAAATATTTTAATACAAGAGAAGAAGATTTATACAATTTTTGTTACTAATGTCATAATTCGATATAATTATAAAAAGAAGCTTCCAGCAACATTTATATATATTAAGTATAGAAATTAATTTTTCTCGATTTTTGATGACTATTGCCACAAAACTGTCAATTAGAAAAGCTGTAATCGGTAATTGCTGTGTGTATTTACGCTTAATATGGTGTTTCTGAACACCATACAACTGGAATTTCCAAGTGTTCGGAAGAATATGCTCAAAAGATGGAAAGTGAATTACAAGAAGACAATATATATAATTCCATCTCACCTGTCATAAATCTGTGTTTTGTTCGTGGTTTTTGTTAAAATGGGCGATAGTTTGTTAGACGCATTGGACTTTGGGGTTGCCGTTATCTCCGTCATGAGACTATCAGTGGACATGGATGTATCCATTTTATTAGCCTTCTTTTTGGCAGTGACCGGCTTACTCTTGGTCTCCAAAGAATCGATCGATAAACCTATCTCAGCGTTCTTCCGTTTGAAAGAAGGCGATTCAGGCCTTGTGATACCGCAACTCTTGCTAGTCAAGTCCTTCTTATTGCCGGTTCGAGCTGCATTTGCCTCCGTTAAACTGTCCGATGACAGAGCTTTTATATCTTTTCTGACCGGTAACTTTATTTTGGACAGCGGCTTCTTATCTGTCGCGCGTTTCATCGCCGGGCTGGAAGTGCGCGATGAGTCAGACGAAGAAATCGTGATCTTGCGCCGTTGTTGCACGTTAATCTTATCATGGCGCACGATGGACACACTCTCCTTTATAATAGGTTTGTTCCTTGGTTCCAAATATCTGGATTTTACCTGCAATTGTTCACACTAGCGACAACTTTATCAAATCAAAACTATTTATCCATAAACTTGTACTAGAATACCGTAATTCATAACTCATTCTTAAAAATTCATATATATCTATTCTTAAACATACTTCTATCTTATTGGGCCATGATTTCGGCCTGACAGTTTCAGATGTTGCTTGCTTATCTTCTTGCATTTTACGCTCCAGCGGATCTGTCTTTGGTTTACACAAAACTTTCTTCGGTTGCTTAGAGGATGATGATACCTGCTTTAAGGTTTTATCATTGTGCTCTGAAATCGCCATTTTAACGCGCTTCAGATCTAAACTGCGGTTCATCGTCGAATGATTAGGCGATGCACGAGATTCCTGTAAAATCAAATTTTATTAGAAAAGAAATGCTCCAGAGAAGATAATAATATATTACAAGCTACAAATTTTAATCTTAAAGTTACTTCAATTGTCAATGTAAGCTCAAAAATTTATACATATATATATATGCAAGCGCGTGCACATATTCTCATATAGAATATTGATTTGCGGATTATTGAAATTTTTTATTTCTTCTGACAAGTATTATGTAAGCTTCTTCATTTCTTTTTAAAGAAAGTGACACTTGCCTTCAAAAAGTTGGAATGTCTCGACAAATGCTTCGAACTCTCATGAGGCAAAATCACAAGGCAAGCTAGCTCTTGTATTCTTCTGCGAAGTTCCAAGTCCATTTTTAGCCATGTGGTGGTTCTTGCGGCACGCGCCGCGTCACGCACCAGACATTTTTCTATGCGGCCTTGAAGTTTGTGCAAGAAATCAATGAACAGTGGTCCCCACTTGCTTCTGCCTTGCAGATCATCTGTCTGCGACGTGAGCAGCATTTATTCAACTTTGAATAACTTTTACACGCCTGTTCGAGTGATAACTGTTCGGCTGCCACTAGAAAGTTATCCTCTAAACGACTGATATTCCATGTTTGCTCGCGACCAAGTGATTGGAAATTCTCGTTTCCTAAAACGCTTGCAAAATTCTCCGATAGAAATTTTACTGAAGTCTCTAATAGATTGGATACCATCTGGAATACTGGTTCTGCCCATCGCACATTTGGCAAAATCGCTAACAATTTATCACAATCCATTATAGTTTGAAGTACATTGTCGATGGACTGCAGTTCCATGAAAAAAAAAATACAATTAACAAAACTATAGAAACTTATTCATTTGCGATAAAATTGAAACATTCTTGTAAATTTAATTTTTCAAAATTAAATAGATAAATCTAATAATCTAGAAAATGTAGAATTTAAATTATTATTAAAACATTATTATTAATATAATAACATCTTTTATTGTATACGTACCATATGCACTATATGCTGATGATAGCATTTTTCCATAAGTTCTCTCGGAAGAGTCGCAAATGCTTTGCAAGGCCATATTCGTACAAAGTGCTTTGTAATCCATCTAAGTGACTTTCGATACACTTCATCCAAACCGTACGCTGCGGCTAACGGCATGCACTCCAACACTCCAACGGCACATATTTGACAAGGCTAAAATGTAATAACGTCCAAAATAATTCAGAAAAAAGATGTAGAGCCATAAATCAAATAAATAAGATTAGAGATGTAACATTAATTTCAAACATCTGGTTTATTAATTCATTATTAACATGCAGATACTGCATTTGCTCTGAACGTTTAATAACATTTCAAAATATTATTCATAATGTGATTAATAATATACAAATATTAATCTAGGTGAAAAGTTTCGTCAACATCCGGCACATTGGTATTATTATTATTGTCACACAAGTGTTATCAAAACTATATTCTTTCAAACGTATATTTACCTTGTGAAACAAGTGACAATATTTAAGCTTAAGTGTGTATCCTATAACTTCTTTGAGACCTTCTAAACACAACATGTCAGCCAATGTCGCCAATTCAACGATGCTTATAGAATCAGGTATATTACTTTCTCCACTATAGATATGACATAATGCAAAATGAACTGCATTATAAGAATACCTAGAATAAAAATATCAACATATTTATAATGTTAAAATAAACATACTACAGTATTAGATTTATAATATAATGATTAAAGAAAAGAGTAATGAAATTTTTATTCGTTTTTTAGCTTACCCTGGTAGAGAAATAACATTGCCTGCACTCTCAATCCATCCGCCGCTTAACATTGCAGCAAAGTATTGGCAACGTGAACTCAATATACATTTATGTGCTCTTATATGCCGGCCGGCTACGTCTATCGTAACATCAGGATTAATTTCTTCCAGGAACATCCTTAACAAGTCCTCACCCAGTCTGTTGTATGGCTTCGCACCAATTATGCTCGACGTTTCAGTTTCCTCTGTGCTGCCTTCTATAATTAACAGTTTTTTAAGAAAATATATTTAATCATATTTAAATTAAATCTTAAATTTAATAAGGCCTAAATGTTCAAAAAGAATACTAAAATTAATAGCCTAGTAGGCTAAGTTTTTCATGCTGTACTTAATCATATTTAAAAATTTTGCAGCATTGTTATTTACATTATTGTCGTGATTTTTATATACAACTAAATATAGCATGAAAAAGTAGCAAATGATAAAAGTTTTAACATTGTGGGCTTTGTCTACACTCAATGTATTGCATTTTATCGTCGTTTATATTGAAAAAATACTTGCGAGTGCTTGATAAGCTCATTTCCCTTATATGCATATGCTATTATATGCATATGTAGTATAATGTAATTAATTAATTTTTTCAAATGTCATCACTTATATCAAATAAATTAGAAATTGACAAAATATATACAATATAATATTGAGAAAATTTCCTTCGAAAAATATGTAAAAAATTTCAATGTTAAAAGTCATGTAAACATGTTATGCTTGCAATTAGTGGTCAATAAGGTCAAGACATGTAATCTATTTTAAAAAGTAACATTTCAATACGTGTTTAAAAAAAAGTTTTCGCAGATTAGTCGCGTGTTGATCATTGAATGTAATTTAAAAAAATAAGATGTATTATATTTTTAGGTATTTAATGGTTTTCTATCACCAGAAAACGTCGCATAAGCAGTAAAAAAAAGAGATGAGAAAATTGGAAAAAATAAGAAGTCCTGAAAGAATTATGAAACTGCTTGAAAGATGGTAAAAAACCATCGAGAAAAATGATCAATATATTACTGGTTATATTACGATAAATTACTACGATAAAATTATATGTAAATATAAAATATTTTTGAATTTTTCCTACAAATAACTATGAATTTTTCTCAATATATGATATAAAAGCTCTTTTCCAAAATGTCAAAGAGTACGTACCCGCTCCGGAGCGTCCCATACTGCTTTGCATGCTACTGAGATCAGATTCGGAGATAATCCCCTCTCCTTCGCAATCAGCGGCGAAGTCCTCTAGCGGAGATTTCTGTTTGGCTGGAAGCGATGTGCTCATAACAGAGGCGAGCTTCCTGGATACTGGTCTCACCGGACCACTGCTCCTCATCGTTCCCTGTCCTAGCTTGCTCTCGATCCACGATGTTTCCGAAATACTACTGTTTATCCACGTGCTTCTGTCATCTCTTACGGGCAAGACGTCCGACGCATGATCGACAATCGGCGTTTTATCTAAATCCGATAAACGTACAAAGCTGGTGGAACTTGGTTGATCAGAGTCTAAATGCAGACTCTTTACATTACGACCGGACACCTTCCCGCCGTCTCTTTTCGACGAGCGGCAACCGTACATCTGTTCCGCATCATTGTACTCCGGTTCCTTTAACTCACACTCAATCTTCTTGATAGTTTCGCTGAGTGATTTACGAGTTTCCGATATCTTACTGCTGTTTCCTGCGGCAATTTTTTGCGATCTTTCGTTGACACCCGAAACTTGGCCGTTCAGCAAGTCGGTCAATTCATAATCGTCGTGGTTGTCGCTGTCAGGGGAAGGTCCGCTACCACTGCTGATGTCGAATGTCTCGCTTTTACGGGTTTGTCCTTCCGTGCTCTCTGTACACGTCTTTTCCCAAGCGGACGTTTCCGAGAATTCGTCCTCGTACGCTTTTGTCTCATTGGCTTCCAAGTTTTCTATCTGATCAGAGATCATTTCTTCATAATCGCAACGGTTTACGCTGGCGCGTAGTTCGGTTGCGATTATTTCCACGTGAGAATTCGGTGGAGTGTCTCTTACGTCAAACTCGAATACATCTTCGGATGACGTGTCCATATTGTTCGAGTTATTCTCACTTTTCTGTAGAATCTTGAAATTTTGATGATTGTAAGCCTCAGCTTTGGCCGTGTCGTTCAGCGAGTTCGCCCGCTCACTCGTCGAGCTCGTCGAGCTCGTTTTCGCCTGGGATCTTTTTGAGGTATCGCGATTATCCATCGACACACTATGCGCGCGCTTGTGCTCTTTTCTAAACATAAGTTCTTTTGCCACGGAACCGTTACTGCTGCTCGCTAGCTGTGTTTTATCTACGTTCCATGAGTGCCGTTTGAATGTCGGTCGCGAGGTAGACAGAGTTCGCCTTCTCACTATAGGAGAATCGGATTCTATGAACATGAAGACGCTAGGCTTTGTTTTCTCTTTTTTTTCTTCTTGCGGCAATTGATTATCTCCTGGGGCGCTGCTATTACTGGAAGCACTATCGTCCGTCTTAATATCCGTTAGTTTATTAGTTACCGTCGAAAAGCTTCGTCTATGCGTCGGAGCCGCGACATTTCTACCACCTTCGCATGTATCATTCAAGCCGATGAACATCGAGAAAATGTTCTTCTTCTCACCTTCGTTGCCAGTGTCACGCCTAACGCTCGTGTCTTGTCTCTCAGACGATTTGCCTTTAACACCATTACTCTCGTCCGAGATATCTACGTAAAATTCGCAATAAGACTTATCGTTGCTGTCGCGTTCCTTCTTTTCAACCGGACAATTGCGTTTGACGGGCTCATCGCTCATCTCCTTCAAATTAACGAAAAATCCTAAACTACCGTGTTTTTCATGATTGTTCGACCTTTGCAAAGGCTTGCGAGCGCATTCAGAAGTGGAAAAGCTTTGCGACATGCTTCGCGAGCTGCTTCGAGATTTAGATTCCTCATTATTGCAATCGCTCATGTCGACCACCCAGGCAGTCATGGACGAAGACATTCTCGGCTTCGGCTTGACCTCGGACTTACTCATCATTACCGAACCACCCGATACAATCGGTGTGGATTCCATTTTGCGTCGCATGTGAGGTGAGCTGATACTCTCCGTGGGTTTCAAGTAATCCGAGGTGCTAACACCACCGGAGATAATCGGAGTAGCCTCGTCGCGTTTGGTTCTCTTAACAGACTCCGTACGATTACCCTTCTCTAAAATCGAATCCAGAGTGACTGGCAAACTACTGCTGCAATGATTGGACGTTTCGTCCGAATCCGTGCCGTAATCCATGATAGTCTTGTCACTGGCACTTTTGATCACGGGATAAACGACACAAGATCTGCTGAGACTGCTTGGTAAACAGCTCTTTTGCGTTGGCGTTTGACTGATCTCACATTTGCAATTGTCCAACACATATGACGCCGGTTGCTGAGAATCACAACCGACCTGAACGTCAGGTGATATAAAGGTGATTGACGGTTCAGTAATCGGAGGAACTACAGAGGAATCAGAAAGTACATGGCGGATGGAGTCTCCGTCCACACGATGTCCCGAATATTGCGGAATAGAGCTTTGGAAAATAAGATTACCTTGCCGGCGCTCGTACTCTTGTCTTAAAACGGACAATTTCTCGTCGTTAGAATCCAGTTCGAACGTGTTTCTTCTTATAAGGGACGATCGTCTGTCCTCGTTAACACTCACGTCTTTGTCGTTTTCGTTTTTTCCCGTCTTGATATTAGGCGATGTATCCGTTTTCTCACTTCGCTCGTTGTTCAACTTTGTGTTGTTGTCGGGACACGGAGAAGGATGCGCGCTCTCTCCACTATCCGTCTCTTTGATCTCTACAGCTAATGATTCCTTAACTGTCGGCTTGCTCGTCTCCACTTTTTCTTCCGATGTGGAATCCACTCGTTTTACTTTACGCGATTCTGGAAATGGTTGTAGGTATTCGGTAAGCTTCAGTTCTCGCTCAAACTCCGCCACTCGTTCGTGGCCACCTTGCAAAGTCAGGGTCTTAAGCGGCGTAAACTTGTAAGTTTGATCTTCGGTAGTATTATTCGATTTGTTCGTCGTGCAGTCCGTATAATTTGAAGAAAACATCAAGTATGATAGCGGCGCACTAGTAGCATACTGATTTTGTGTTACATTCGTGGACATAATATCCACCTCATCATTCAATGTAGATGCATCAATGAAATAATAACCGCTGGTGGAGGAACTATCACGAGAACTAATGACATCAGCAGAACGAGAACGATCGAATTGCGTTTCGGTCGTTACATTTTCTGATTTTTCGCCATCAGGTTGTACTTCTTGTTCCAATTTACACTCCGTGGAAGTCTTCTCACATTCGCCGCTCGCTGAGGCAATAGGTTCGATATATTCAAAGGACCCATTTTCATCACTGCCGCATTCCGATTCATAGAATGGTTCATTCAGCATTCGACTTTCATACTGGAAGATCTCTTCGACGTTCAGTTTCGCTCCTTCAGCGTTCTGTGAAGTGTCTGCAGACTGATTTTTTATTTCCGAGGATGAACATGTTGTGCTATAATTATTCGACTCAGATTGGGTTGCGCTCTTCTCACGATATTCACTATTAAGTGATTCGCAATTGAGCGATTCTTCATCTAGTAAGAGTGTCTTATGCCCACATTTGTTGCGCACTCGCTCAGCGTGTATCCGATCTGAATCGTCATCAGTGGCAGAGGTGTACTCTGCTGCTTGCACTAATTCAAAGTCCGTGCTAGAGTTTTCAGATGTTGTATTCTCATGTGGACTTGTCGAACCTGTCTCTAGACCGGAATCAGCCATTTCTGATACAGCAGGACTTGTATCCGCTACAGCATACTCTTTCACCTCCTGCAGATGTTGATATGCTTTACAGATTAAAAATTGATTCTTGTTCCTAAAACACAAATTCTAATGTCAGAAAATTATTATATAACAATTTCAGAGAAAAATACTAATAAAATTTTCAAAATCTTAAGCACACCATATGTTGTGTTATAGTTTATAACATATTAATGTGTTGAAATTATTTAAAATAGAAAGTGTTGCTTATGAGAATCTATTACCTCAGAATAGTGTCTTGTAATTGGCTGATACTGTTGACAATAGTGCGATGTTCTTTCGCACCCTTCTGTTCCTTGAATCCATCGCTCAGAGAAGATTCAGATTTTGCAAAAGAGTCAAGGCAATTATAGCACAGCTTTTGGTGCGTCTTGTTTAAATTTCCATTTTGCTTGCTGTCGTTTCTGCCTCCAGCCATGAGGCATGTTTACTATTTCATACTTGTTTATCTTCAAATAACAAATCTACCTTCAATACAATATATATATTATATATATATATATATATATATATATATGAATAATACATCTGATTCTGTAAATAAAACTAAAGCCACAATTGAAATTAAAGATAGATTTCCTGATTTTAATATTTTTTTCTTTTTTCTCAGACAACTGCCAAAATCAAAATATTAAAAAAATAGCAAGTTAATGCAATGTAATTCTTGCCAAGTTTCTTACAGCATTGCAAAAATATAGTAACGGTTGTCGAATATCAAGGACACATTAAAATCACACTTGATAGTCACACTAGCACAATTTTACTGCGGCAATTTTTGCTTTAAAGCACGAATTTTCCCCGCGCGAATAATTTATTGATCGCTCATATATGTTACGTACCTCACATATTTCGATCCGCCGGCACGTCGATTCGCATTGTTCGTCATCATTGAGATTAACTATTTATTTTAATTACTTCGTGCATTACAGCGAGCCTTACATTTGCATCAGTGCATTACGAAGATTGCGGCAAAGCGAAGTGTTTCGTCAACTTGTGCGCGTCCTAAAAACGTAAATTTTCGCAAATACAATTGCACGACCATGTCGATCACTCGGAGACAACTCGAACCACTCATGGCCACTGTTACTGTAGTATACGTAGTAACGCAACTGCTTAATTTCATCGACTAAAACGCCACATGGCTACATAGAAGCAGTAATGGAAGCTTGCATTGTGTTCAAGAGATGTCCAACACAAGAGACTAATAAAAAAACGTGCTTTCTAGGGAAAATCTTCATACCTAAAATACAAATATACCAATTTCATGTCTCTTCCCTTGAACAGCGCATCTAGATATCCGTGCACCATGACTGTGTGGATCCATATCTGTCAGTCATCCATCAGTTTGACAGATCCAAATGTCAAATGTGATGCAAATATTTTGTAAATGCATAACAAACTTTGAGATCGTGATACACGCAATTTTAAATAAAAATAAAATAACAATATATATGCCAACTCAATCTGGAGATAATTTAAAATAATTTAACTTAGAGAAAAACGTACGGATATGTACGACTTTTTATTTCTTCGATTTATAATATACAATCTGATTTATTCTCAAAACTGGGATTTTTTTTTTAATGGGAGATCGGCGTTATCGATCCAATCGGTGGGTCCTGCCATTTAAATTCCTGTTGGTAGGTAAAGTACACTACCCAGTAACAAATATTAAGTAAACCAAAAGATGCGGGAAAAACTATTCGTGCTACTCTATCTATGTAAGACACGCTATTGATGGGTCTCAATATACGATCGCCGCATTTTCGATAGCTACTGGTTGCTTCTCGTTGCCGACGACGTCTGCAATTTAAATATTAATTATTAAAAAAAAAAGTACAATTTATATTTTAATAAATAATTATATCTGTTTACACACGCGCTTGCACACACACCATACTCATAAAAGTATCATATGGCAAATTTTATGATTAGTTCGAAATAAGTATAATAACAATAAATAGAAAAAGAACTATTAATTAGAACCTTAAATTGAAGCATAGAACGTAAGGAAGGATACTGCATCTTTTATAATAAAATGTTTTAGAAAATTTATTTTTTATTAATGCATCTATACCTGAAAGCATCATCTCCTGCCAAGCAATAGAGAAACTGGCGCCATATCGGTAAAATAAGCTCCGTTTGTGTTTGTCTTTCCATCGTCGACGGCTTCGATGAAACGGCGACCATTATAGAACGACAGGAATCTCTTTCGTATGTGATCCCATCCTGCAAAAAAAACTTGCATTTGTATCTGTATTAAGAAACACTGCTATTAAAATAACATTTACGAAATAATTTCAAATGTCAAAGATACAAAAAATACAATAAAAGAGAATTTAAACATTATTAAATCAATCTCTAATATCAAGAATAAAAAATTTTAATAAATTTCTATACATTAATTTTAAAATTTTTTAAAGTATTTCTCACACTTTTAAAAAGTGTATTTAACTTTGAATAGCTTTTTTCGTCATGAATGCAGTTTTTATTGGTGATATATAGAACTAACACAGTATAGCGCGGATATGAGAGAACCACGTCTTCTGGTGCTTGTGTCAACGGTTTCCGGATGAACTGGACTACAAGACATCATGCGAAATGTATCCTCAAATTCTTCACTCGCGACATCCTGCCATTCTTCAATTTCTTCATCGTCCAACATAATCTCACCGCTACCGACCTAAAAATTTATGAAAATTGAGCCAGTGATATATGAGCTTAAATTTAACGCTTCTCTCTTTTCCATGGATATTTAAAATTATGCCGAGAGAATAGAGATCTTTAGAAAATTGGCTGTAAAGATAACATAAAGAATCGTATAAAAAAACATATTTTATTCACAAAAACTTATAAAAAACTTTAAACTGTTTTCCAAAAAGAAAATCTTATCTATTTACGCATCTTCTCCTAAGAACCTCTTACAGAACATCTTAAGAATCTTCTCCTAAGTTCCTCCTACAAGAAAAGCAAGTAAAATATCGCAAAATCGTCACCTTCGTAAAGTAGTGAACACCAGCAAACTCTAAGAGGGTGGCGATGCAGTAACCGAAACTCATCAAGAGAAACCAATCCAAAGCAGTGGCGTATCTAACTTTCGGTAAATCCGTTCTGGAATCGAGGCTTATCGTTGATAATGTTAAGACGGTAGTAATACCTGGAAAATTTATGATACAATGTTATCAAGGGTCGAGTTTTCCATTACCGTATTTGCTGTAAGCACAACGTTTATGAAATGTTCAAAACCTGTAAGTAAAAAAGTTATAAAAGATTGTGGGGAAGTGTGAAATAATGCGAAAAGTATAATTGAAAATAATGACCATCAAATATTTAGAAATATTTGAGAAATAATGATCATTATATAATGCTAATCAAATATTTGAGTTGTCACATTAAATCTCTTTCAAATATTTTCTTTTATTGAAAAAAAATTGTAAAAAGTTTCAAGATTTATGTATAGTAGGCTACATTCGAATTAATTAATATCACTTTGACAATTTTCAACTTTTGTTGAATATATAAAAGTAATTTCGAACTCGATAACATTAAAATGTTAGAAGTGTTAGTAAATAAAAAGGATTTAAAGGATAAAAAATTTACTATGATGAATTGATTTTTTTGGGATTGCGTACCTAAACCCACTCGATCGCTTGTTGCCTCGCGATGAATCCAGAAGGATACCCAACTCAGTACAACTATTAAAACGCACGGCACATAAACCTATCAATGTAATAAAATTTTTTTACCTTTTTACTTTATTGCACTATGTAGAACTGCTTCATTTTGTTTGAGGATTTGCAGTGAACATCATTATATTTACACGTATGCTTACCTGTATGAGAAAATATCCGGTATGCCGTTGCAAATTGAAAGATACTTGCAATACCGAAAACTCGCCTTCGCGACGCACAAACGTGAGATTTCTATACGGCGAACCCATTAAATCGAATTGCGAAAGCGTCATTCCAGGAATGAAATTCACTGATGAACCTTCCTGCCACTCGTAAATCAATTGTCTCGATGTATATCCATCTAATACAAATTTAAAAAATGTTTTAACAAAATATTTCAAAGATATATTCATATTTATTTCTCACATCCATTCGTTATGAATATCTAATGAGTGAAAAATTATTTTTTTCTTTCTTTGTTATCTGAGTATTGATAACGCTAATCTTAAATCTCTTTTGCATTTTGAATTAAAACAAAGTTTGGTCACAGGTGGGCTTATAATAATAAATCCCGATATTACGTCGCATCATGGGCTTTGATACCAGTTGTGCTTACGTCAGAAGGTCGGAAGAATCACCAAGTACCGTAAAGCCGAAACGGAACATGAAGGAATATCGAATTTATTGCGATCGTAACTGAGCAGGAGCAATTGCGAACGCTCGCCAAAGGATAATACCGCGGGATAAATGTTACACACGTGAGGAATAATACAATGTAGCGTACGACAGGATCATACAGATGAAGTGTTATTTCTTCTGATATTATTATTATCATGTTTCTATCAGGGTAAGTTTTAATTGGTTTATAAAACGCAACAATGCTATTCTTTCGAATAATTTGCAAATTAAAATACAAGAAAAGATAAATTGTGATTTATTATTGATTAAATTAGAAAACGGTTTATATCATATCTCGTGGGAAGAAGAGTGTATTATAATTATAAAATAATAAATAATAAAACGTAAAACTATGAGAATAAAAGATATAAATCTATATAATTTCTTTTCTCGCTGAATAAAATTATAGAATAAAACTGTCAGTTAGCTTTGATTTTATAATTGTAATTTCATTTTCTCAAAAATTGATTCTTTCATTACGACTATCGTCTTCCCAAAATATGATATACATATAATATATTATGTCGTCATTTAAGAAGGATAAATACATACAGCTTCCCATTATCAACGGGCAAAATTGCCGATCCATAGGAAAATTTCTCAGTTCCATAGGACACTTGGCCTTGATAGTGAGCCTGCATACACAAAAATAAATTCTAATGTGCAATTTTTAATTATTATTTCATCATATTATAAATAAAAAGCTGAACAATGTTAATATCTAAGAATTTACATCATTAATTCTATTTTCTAATGTTATATTGTTATTTTTATCGTACTTTTTTTGTATAGATTTGCTTTGTTAACAAGAAGTTAAATCTATTAGAGCTAAGTTTTAAACTAAATTCTCTATTTATTTATCGCAAACGTGCATCCATGCATTTCATAAAAATTGACAAATTTGGATTCGGTTTGTTATATGATGCGTAAATTTACGCGCGAACAAACCTCATAGAGTACAATATATCGCCATCCTGCGAGATCCTTAGCAATTTGTTCGGCACGGTGATCGTATGTACATAACTGTGTTTGCCATTGTAGAAATAGGTATCGGGACGCCAAATTCTTTCAACCATTTTGATGCTGAGGCTGAGGGACTTGATTGGGCCCAAGAAACTTAAACGCGAATCGCGCCATGATTGTCGAAAATAGCAGTCCATCGAATAATCCTGGCAAAAAAAAAGTTTTAAACGAAACTGCATTAAATTTGATTTCAAACGAAGAAACCGTATTTTGCTATTAGCAATAATAGATATAACAATAAATAACCGATTAAAGAATATTACTATAATTATTTTAAATAATTAAACTTTTACACACTAAATAAATATATAACGTAAACATTGAATCTTTCAAATTTGAATTTATTAACTTTGAATTAAAAGTGTACTACGTAAAATTGACCACAAAAGAAGAATACTAAATTAATGAAAATCTAACAAACAATTGCTTTATTTGACAATTACATAATAATTAAAAGTACTTTATGTAATGACGAAAGTAAAAAAGAAATAGATTAAATTTATTAATGCGTTTTCCCTACTTAAAGGTTTCGAATCTCACCATATCGAGCTCAGACACTGGACCCATACTTCTAATTAGAATATTGGTTTTTACCACTGTAGGCACGCCTAAACAAGTGCAAGATAATTAATATCAAAACTTTGTGAGCATGATTTATGAAATGTCCAGTCCAATATTCCGCAAAGTTCAGGATATATAGCTTTATAGAATAAAAAAGGCACTGGTGGTGATCGTTGATGATGATCAGATTAATTCAAATAATTAATTAGGATATAATAATATATGTAACTTTTTAAGTATAGAACTAAAATTTTTACCACTAATCTGGCATTGCAGTCTGTATGCTAATCAGTGATTACAATACTTAATACAGTACATTATCTTACCTTTACCGTGCGTGGGCAGCTGGCTGTTTTCGTAGTTCATCAACAAATTTTCGAGAACCATAGTAATGTTCTTTGAGACAATGTCGTTCATAATAGCCCTGGGCGTTCTATTGCCTATCGTCGACACCAATGATCCTGATGACAACGCGAAACCGGATGTCGCTCTGATTTCGAATGCATAATGATATTTGCATATAGTAAGCGGCACGAGGATGAAGCGGTAAATATAATACACAAGTGTATTCATTAATCCATCGGCAATCATATATTATTCTGTGTTTCTGCAGAGAATTAGAGGGTATCGCGCAAAATACATAGGGCGCTTGAAATACGCGGAATATATCTATATCAGACGTCGCTCGCATTGTTCCGCAAAATTAACGCATGACAAATTTCTCATTAAATCTAAATTTCATCTTTCATTACAAAAATTGAATTTAAAATAACTTCAATTTAAGAGCAATCGCTTGTAACAGAACGTTTTTTAACAACAAAAATCTTGCTAAATAAAGAAGTCGTATATTCACGCTCCATTAAATTATATTAATCAGAAATTAGTTAAAGTAGTAAAATGATTTGATGATTGAATTCTGACTGATTGTATATAAAATAAGTTGTTATTAGTTCAAGTTGTTGATATAACTATTAATTGCAGCGATATTACAATTAAATTAAAAATAATTTAATATGCAAATAAATGGAAATATAATATATTAATACATAGAAGTGAAAAACAAGATACAATTTTTTTAATAATTAAGATTAATTAATCAAGACAAGATAATTTAAACAGCTGAATTGGAAAGATCATAACGCAATTATGTTAAAAATTGTAAGCAAAACAAGATATACTTTACTTGAACGCAGGGTCGATGTCTTTCAAATTAACTATGATCATAAATGAGTCCTAAATGTCGATTCATTAAGTATTTAATGGACGTGAGTGCGCTTCATGAATATGTGGATGGGATTGATCATCATAGTTACTCGATTCAGCTACAAAATTGATAATCTGTCCTTTCAAGAGAAACGCATTTCAAGCCATATCAACTCGTATTTTAAGCCTAAAGAGAACCAGTTAATACCATCAATAGATTCTGAGTTTCAACTTTTTACAATGCCTTCGTTGTAACGAACAATTCCTCCGCATAATTAATAAAGTGTAATATTCTTTAACAAAATTTTCATTTAAATTAATTTTTTTAATTTAATACGTATGGCATACAACTAATGATTAATTGTAAGTATAGCATATGTATGTATATTCTCATTCGTATCTCCAACATTTATTTCTGTTCATTTTTATCCTGAATTTTTATCCATTTATACCCTGAAATTTCTTTTTAGATAATACTTGTATTTATTGCATTTAATCAATAAAAAAATTGCTCTGTAGAATGTATTGTGTAATTGTAAACCATAGAAAGCGTAAATTCTATATTTATTTATTTTTTCACGTTCAGAAGAATCGACAATGAAAAATGCGTACAATATGCAAAACTTTTCTCCTTAAACGATATGTAATGTAACTTGATAACAATATTAATATTACAAAAATATTACAATTATCTAGAGCACGCTGCGCTCTCTCTCTCTTCCCCCCTCTCTCTCTCTCCTCTCTCCCTCCTCTCTCTCTCTCTCTCTCTCTCTCTCTCTCTCTCTCTCACAGCTTTTGTGTGTTGACATTCTCTGTCGTCCTTCCGACATAGTCACCACGAAATAGCATCGTCCACGTGCCAGAACTTTGTTCACGTCAGATTAGCCGCTACCGATAAACCGCAGCTCGCAGCACACGCGAGAAGACATACGTCGAAGTGCAGAATCTTGATGCTTGCGTGGTACCTTCTTAAATATAAATTATACGTGCATTTTGTAAACAATGTGCCAAATCGTCTGGGTACTATGATATAATTTTAAGTGAATATAAGTGAAAAATATTGTAACCGCACACTCAAGTATGCTAGGCACAGAAACGCTATAAAAATGCTTGGATGTGAATATTTTCTATTGTAGAGCTTGATATCATATTCAGAGTGAGCATTGAAGATTCTGGACTGAATATATTCTAGGTCGAATTCGACATACAAAAGAAATGAAATTTAGATTGCGACGTTTTGAAAATCGCGCAACACAGTAATGTCATATCCGTTTTAATTTTTATCGCGGGAGCTGAAACGCGATAATGTCATAAAGTCGCAAAAGGGATGAATGACGAGTATCATCGGGAAACCGGTTTAAGGCATAAAGTGAGGCTGAGATTAGGGCGGGAAAGAAAAGTAGAAGAGTGCCTCTTGTCATTTGCTGATTCAGGAGTATCCACGATGCACGAGGGCTCGTCACTGTTTCAAGAGAACGTTGCACTCTGTGCACAATCACAATCGGGTGAGATTGTATGCGCATTTTGCATCTAAAATGATTTTCGAGCTCGCCCTCAAGCGAACCTTACAAAGTACCGAATGAAATGATGAAATACAGATCGCGTATTGTTTGCCAAGCCGAATCGTCCTTGTAAAACATGATAAAAAATCTTAATAACATAAAATATCATGAAATACAAGAACAATTATGAATTAAGAAATCAGTAGTCGAATCAAAAAGCTGTATTAACTTAATTACAAGAAGTATCTATCTACATTTGTATTTTGTATGTCACATTAAATACGGAGAACACTCTAAATTGTTGTTGTACCTCTTTGTTAGTTCCGTTAAAAAGTAGGCTCTAATTTAATTGTCTTTCCGATAAGTAATTTTATCCGACAGTTATTCACCGAAACTTTTTGTTATTTATTATATTATTATAATATAATATTATTAATTATTGCAATATCAATATTTAAATAACTAACAATGGAAAATTTTGCGATATTTTATGACAGGATGCAATTTTAGATGCTCGATACTTGACACATATATTTGCACTAATATAACAACTCGCTGCGCGATTAAATTTGAAGGGTAATTACTATACATCTTCTGTTAAAGCTGCCTCGAAATCTGTTCGTGAAATATTCAGAAGCTTCTACAAGTTGCGCGATCTACGCGTATACCTGTAATTGCTTAAGATACACCTTTGAGTTTCATGCGTCAGAAGCGCGGTGACTTTGATACACGGCGATTAAAATTTTCATTATTTCAAGAAGATTTATGCAAAGTGTTTGTGAATACGGAGTATAAAACGATGAAGAATCAGAGAGCGATCTGAATAATATTTAATTGGCTACACAGTTTTCAAAAATAGAATATTGTTTAAAAGCGATTTTATCGTAATATTTAAACTTTTAAAATAAAACAATTTTAATTAAATCAGATAATTATACATAATATTTTGATATAGAAAAAACAGAATAATAATAAAAATAACAATTTAATCACAATGTAATTATAATTATATCAATGTACAATCTAGTTGCTTTATTTATCTGCATTTAATCGTATAATTATTTATATTATTAAATAATCTCTTTATATATTACAAATTGTATAACTATTGTAAAAATACGCGAAGAAGACAAAGCAGCTATTACGAAAGAAAATGTATTTGAAGAAACATCCTAGCTTGACACACACACACACACGGCTAGAATTTCACATGAATATATAATTTCATTCGTATTATTAAATAAGTAAATAATTATAAATGTTAAATAATAACATGCTGTGATTAAAACGCGCATTTTTTACAAAAATAATATTTGTTACAGTAATGCGTTAATAATTACTTTACTTACAGCAACAATTTTTTTGATGTCATCTTTGACGTTGACTCACGTTTTGTTAAAATTTCAAGAGCACGTTTCTTCTCGTTAATGATACCGATGTACTTTGACGTTAATGATACCGATGTATTTTGACACTCACCACGAAGTGCAACGAGCCATTGCGGTGGCCGCGTGGATCTTCCTGACGCGAACCCCCCTAAGACGCGGGGAGTCACAAGCGTCGCGACGCGCAAGCCCCGAAATCACGCCGACCGTATATTCACATTTAATTCTTTAACGTCTTGCTTATTTATAGCGATCGCGCGACCAACTCGTTATTTGCATATTTCGAATTTTAATTAAAAGTATGTAAGCTTCTTGAGTTTGAGATTTATAACATGTTATATCTCGTTAATTATACGAGACAATTTAAAGATCCGTAATAGATATAAAGTTTATATATGCATAGTCCTTCATCGAAATTAAAATTTAATATTAAGAAAAGTGTACAAGAGAAGATCTTTATTATATCAAATTATATCTTTATTATATTATATCAAAATTGCAAGCCATCAAAAAAATTTTAATTCAAAAGCGATTAAAAGTAAATATAATTTTATAACTTGTAAACTTTTGACGATTACATAAACATAACAAAATTTTGTATTTTATTTAATTTTAAAATTCAAATTTGGATATTCCAAATTAGTGTTCTAAGTTAGAAAAATATATCAAAGCGTTATTTTTAGTCGATGATCAAATAAGCACAACAAACTTTATATTTTATTTAATTTTAAATTCAAATTTTGATAATCTTTTAAATTAAGAAAATACATCAAAGCTCACTTTCTAATTTAACTTACTAAAACATTCAAAGTGAGATGTCAGAAAGGAACTAATCGCATCTGACATGGTGTAGATTGCATCTGCAATCAACGAGACTTGATATTTCGTCATCTTTCGTCAAATCCTATTAAACGCCGAGCAGCTACCAAATTTAAACATGTTAATTAGCAAGTTTCCAAGCGTGTTTCTGATCGTGTCATGTTTCAGTTAAACTGTACTTCATCTAAGGGAGTTGGTTTTGTTTACACTCGAGTATAATATATATATATAAAAGAATACGGAGCAACGAGATTTCGGAGTAAAGTTATGAGTCTTATAGACACATAATTGAAATAATCCAAACAGTCATTAAGAAAAGGCATTGAAAAAAATAAATCTTTTTTTTAATTTATCTGAATATATTAATAATTGCACTATTCATAATTTACCAAAGCTTTTAATAATGTACAATTTCTTCAGCAATGCATCCATATTTATTAAAAATTAATTCGTTCTTTAAGTTTTCAGTTTTGTAGAGATTGAATTCTGCAGAAGCAATTCTTTTGATTTGGAATCAGCCATTGCAAAGATATGTCGTGATTCCTCGCTTGCGTTTCCTCGCGGACATTTCAAAATCGATCAAAACGCGTCTTCGAGCGACGCCGAGTGTTAAAATGATTTCCGATTAGCGTCGACATTGTCGACAAGAAAATTCTTATCGTCTTTCGGAGGTACGTGAATCTATATTGCCAGTAGAAGCTGCTTATTGATTGTACATTTAGCCGTTATTACACTGCTACGCTTCGTATACAAGGCGTGATTTGCAACGATACGCTGTGCAATAAAGTACTAAATGCAAAATAATGTTAAAGCAAGCAGCTAACGTACATTATATTTAACAGTTAATACAAATGTTACATTTTCCATTTAATTTTAAGCAAATTAGTGAATAATAAAGATAAAGTTTAAGATTAAAATGTTTGCTATAAATAATGTTTCTTTTTTCATGAAAATTTTCAAATTTTCAGAGACTTTAATAACACATTTAGCTTTAATACACATAACAGTCGCAAATCACTCTGTACACTTCTGCGGAATGTTCCAAATCTCGACAGTTCACTTATCGAATAAACTTTGTCGCAGTAAAGTGTGTGATACGATGCGGAAGTGAATCTTCATTAATGCTTAGCTGAGCGCTCATTAATTTGATCCTATCTCCGCGCCCGCCTCTTTTATACTCTTCTTAAGAGTTATGTTTAAAAATGCTATTCATACTAATTGCAAAAAATATTATAGTCGGGGACTATTTGCGAATATATTGTCAGATTGTATTAAATCATTTTTATTCAAGAATTGAACAAAATGTGAAAAAAACTATTCGATTGAGCGCGCGACTTGTGTTACAAGGAAGTACATGTATCATCAAACTTATTTTTATTCGTCGCCAAGCTTCATCACAATTAATATTAATTGATCAATTTTAGCTACGCAACCCGAAATAACCATCGATCACATTTGCTTCTCTCCGCTCTCCATGCTCGAGGGTTAATGACATCCTCCTTCGTAAAGATACCGGTGGAGATGATGTAACAGTGACGTGATAGTAGTGGTGGGTATTGGATCGGCTTACTATGGAAATCCGATCGCCGACTGTGTGTCACTAGGTCAGCTGAGATAGAGTATACCGTGCATGCGCTCTATGCGTTGGACGGAAGCCCGGGGGAGGGAGGACGACGAAAGACGAGGAAGGACTTGGAGGAACGAAAGAGAGAAGCGTCAAGGCAATTCGAGGGAAAAGAGGGAGATTCGTGCGAGAAGGCGGATAGAGAGTGAAAAGGTGATCGCACGTGAAAAAGAAAATGCGGGTGAGACGGGTCACAGGATTCGTAAAAACGAAAATATAAGAAAAAAAAAAGAAAGAGAAAGCGAAAGCAAGAGTTGGAATAATAGGAACAGAGATAGCGGGCCGCGTGTAGGGGTGGCAGGCAGGAGCGAGGGGATGTGATTTCCGGAGAGAACACGGGAGAGAGAGAGAGGGAAAGAGAACACGTTTGCGATAAGGGTGTCAAAGAGGGGGAGGGAGGGAAAGAGAGAGGGAGAAGGGGAGAGAAAGAGAGAGAGAGAGAAAGAGAGAGAAATCGACAGTGGATCCGCGTTAGCTACCGAGGGATGAAAGGCAGCAGCCTTCGCGACTCTTGGCGCACGGGAACATCTCGCGCTTTCGTTTCTGCCTGACGACGCTGACGACGTCAACGACGGCGGGGAGTGATGCTGTGCAACGATCGATGACGCGTTCGTGACAGTGCGTTCGAACAGATTCGCGAGTTCAATAGGTGACGCCGAACCGTGATAACGCCGGGCTTCGTAAACGCTGATAACTGTGGGCCCGATGAACGCTGATTGAACAGTGGGCCGATACTCGTGAGATCGCGATCCCGCGATCAATTTCAAGCTTCGATGACGGATCAAAGCACGCGTGAGTGATGAGTCCCATTGACGACGTGATAATCAAGCAGATTCTCATATCTCCGTTTAATCGACTATGAGATTATCGCGCGCGTCGTGACTCTTATCGAATGCAGCAGGTAAGTATTTACATATAATATATGTATCTCAATTAGTGAAAAAGTAAATATACTTATTAGTAAAATGTACAAAATTAACATGCTTAAAGCTCGTAAAAAGATTTTCGTGAATAAACTAAATCCAAAGGTCTTTTTAAGTTAATAAATCAATATTGAAGAACAAATTCATCTCAACATTATTTATGTGGTTTTTCATTACTTCTTATTATAATTCACTGTTTAATATTGAGTGTTTCTAAGGCTATATTACGATATATATAATTGTTGACATAATCTTAATTATTTTTTATGCACGATTATTCAACAAATTATAATAATTATCAAGTATAAAATAATAGTGATAAAGTTCATATTTTTATATCATTAAAGTTTTAAAACATTTATTTACGAATCTGACCACATGTTGCAAAACAAAAGAAACTGAATACTGATAAAGTATTCGCGTAAAGTATCATGTGCATGAAATATTCCCCGTCGTCAATTTAAAACGTCAAAACTAGCATTAATAAAGACAACGGAAGACAGGAAAAAGTTACCCTTGGTCGTCATTTTTTATAAAGTCTAGAGTTTCGTGACTAACAAGATTTTTATCTTGATAACTCAGGAATAACTTCCCCTTAGAAATAACTGTATTAGAAATTTGCAAAAAAGCAAAGTGTACATTTTACACATTTTTCTTTGTCGTTTGAAGCAGACAACGTATAAAGTTCGTAAATGACGATTTCAAACGTGCATAATCTTTGAACGAAAAGTTAATAAAGCACAGGCAATATGCAGAACGTGCATAATAAACTTTCGCCGCAAGACATTTAATTCAACGTGTATTTATTCTTTGAATTTCCGACATATACCACGCGCACATCGTTGCACAGAGTTATTGGTGAGTTAAATCTTTCATATCTTTCTGCACAAAAGTTACGCCGGATAGAACTTATTACGGATGCGGGAGGAGTATTTATGTTTGTCTCATGTGGAATAACTTGAGGGTGCGTGTTTGCGTAGAGAGTGGGAGTACACACGCGTGGAGACCTGGTCACGAGGTCAAGGGCGGCATTGTACGGAAAGGGCTGACGGTGTTCTTCCCTTTATCTATGACTTCAGACCGGCAACGGCGGCAGTGAGCCGGTTACGGGGATGCCGAGGGGATGCGAGGAGATCGCGAGATGACGTTCTCCATCGCGCTCGTCGCAATTTAATAACGCAATCCCGGCCTGAATAACAAAGACGATTGGCAGGATGCTGCCGCGCGGATTCCCGCTGATCGCTCTCTTTTTCGTACAGCTACGTCATCGTGTCATCTGGTGAGCGTTCGCTACTCGAGTCTTCTCCCTACCGTAGAAAATCACAATCGTATAAAAATGCTGTCACTTTTCCCCCTTTTCAGTTATATTGCACATGTGATAGGCATACGCGGAATACAGTTTGTGTATTTATGTATCTGTATATACACTGTTTAAGTATACTCTCGTATATCCAAGTTTGGATCTGATAAAAGATGCTTGCAAAAATGGTGGTTGCTTCTAAATATTAAACCAGAATATTTTTTGATTAAAAATATTTTATAATATTTTATAAAAAAAATTCAAAAATATTCTTTATAAGTTTCGTATGCTTTAAAGTTGTAATAAAAAAAAGTATTTAAATAATGATGTCACGAGTTAGTTCTGAAAATAATTCGATTGAAGATACATGTATGCAGTAAATATAGTCCAAAAGAAAGCAACATATATACAGAAATGCATTACCATGATTAAATGTAAAAGGAAATAATTAAATACCCGAATTAAGCTCGATGCGCGCGACACGTACGATTATTCGAGCAATCAGAGTCCCAATCAGAGCACTGTACACAAGAAGAAATAATAATGCTCCATTTTCCGGGCAAAAAACGAAGCTGATAATCCTCTCTAAACAACGTTGCATTTGACCGTAATTTTCTTGCTATCTTAGAAGCACTAATCATTCGCTACTTACTCATAACCATAACAAATATTGTGATCGTAAGTAAAATAATCCCTAGAGACCAGACCAGATTGATAGTGTCTGAATCAATAATTGGAAGTAGCTTTGCGATGTGCAATATTATCTTCCTTCCATCCATGATTTTTTCGTTATTAATTTTTAAATTGTTTCATTTCTCGATGTTCTGCACATTTTCGTTACATTATTGCGTAAGTACGATTTGTTACTTTATTAAAGTATTAGACGAGAATGAGTGCTTGAATATGAATACTTATTTTGTATGAAGGAACATATACTTTATATCTTTTCGTCAGGCCATGTTTAACAGAAATGAATGTCGAAGATGCGAATGTTTCGGTGCATACTTCGCAAAGTGAAATTTTCTGCCATTGCAATATTTATTTGATAGGTTTGACAATATACCGTTTAGCACTTTTTAATGTTTTTATTTCTATTTTAATATTTTTAAGTTCTATCTATAGGTTTTATTTCTGCAATTTTACACTTTGTAGGGCTACTCTAGAGAGCACCGGGATGTCCGATAGACTGGAGAACGTCACGCAGACAATTTCGAGGATACTCGACGGTTACGATATTCGATTAAGGCCGAACTTCGGCGGTAAGTTGTGCATTTATCGATCCTTTCATGCCTTCTGTTAGAAGTTATCTAGCTGATTTTACGCGTGCATATTTTATATAGCAATGTACAACATATATAAAATGAGAAAAACATTCTAGAAAATAAATCAAGCGTTAGAAAAATATATTGCTTAAAAATTAACACTATTAAGAAAGATATACAAAGAAATTTAAGAAAATTACTTAGGTATCGAGCTATATTTAACAAAACAGTTTAGAATAGAACTATCCGCCCGAAGGGGCAGGATAATATAGTATTACAGAAGCTTTTAATGAAGTTTTCCACGCCATTCAACGAGGCGCGATCGCAATCAGCGCTCTTAATCGAACGTGCAACGAGGGGAAGTAATTTGCCGATATTATCAATGGATTAAAACAAGCCCTTAAGCCATTTCTTTTTCCCCTTCTTTTAACAGTTTTTATCACAAACTACTTTAGAAGAAAATAGAAGAATTAAAAATACTCATTTTCTTATATTAATTTTATATTTAAAAATAAATAAAAGATTATTTGTTACTTAAAGGTGATCCGTTATTAGTCGGAATGGATCTCACCATCGCCAGTTTTGACGCGATCTCAGAAGTTAATATGGTAAGTAAATATAAAAAGTACATACATATATAAGTCTTTTCGATGATGTCTTTTCAATATCTATCCCAAATTATTCGCGCTTATTACACATATATGACAAAATATAAAGTGTTATATATCTCTTTTTGTATCTCAGAAATTTATATTATCATTCATTGTAATTATAAGTGTAAAATGACAGATGCACGTGTTTATATTGAATTTTCGCATCGGATTATTATATGTACGAGCCTCGAAATACTTGTTCTTTCACTGCGATATTTATAATAATCGTCGTCATTTCTAAATTAATTTTTACCTTCAAAACATAAACTATTTTAATAACTGATTGTCAACAGTTTCCTTTTTTCTTCGTTTTTTGACAATATCGGCTCTAAATATATTTTTTATGGCACATAAAATAATTGGTACATATTGGTGCGATAAATTAATCAGAAATCTAAAAAAATTTGAGAGTTGTAAGACACATAAAAATTCAGTAATTATATATAAAAATAAAGTATAAAGCACTCTACGTATAATTTGTTATAATTATTATTAACAATATGTTATACTAGCAATGGTAACCATTATTTGCATCCCAGGATTACACAATAACGATGTATCTAAATCAATATTGGAAAGATGAAAGGCTTGCCTTTTCACACGAAGACGAAACCTTGACGTTAAGTGGCGATTTTGCGGAAAAGATCTGGGTTCCGGATACGTTTTTCGCGAACGACAAAAACAGGTAACTGCGGCAACGAGTAATTTATACGATTTGCTGTACTTGAACCATTTGCTAAAAACATCGGTAACCATTTTATTGCATCTATATATGTATATATTAAAGCTGTACTCTCTTTTAACGTGAGATCTATTTTAATACACTCTGTTTTACCGAATTTTTTTTACTTGTTTGCAGCTTTTTGCACGATGTTACTGAGCGCAACAAGCTCGTTAGATTGTCCGGCGACGGCTCGATCACATATGGTATGAGATTCACAACAACCCTGGCTTGCATGATGGACCTGCACTATTATCCCCTCGATTCGCAAAATTGCACCGTCGAAATCGAAAGCTGTATGTATTCGAATATACGTTTACGATTAAGAAAGAAAGAAGCAAGAAGATAGAACTCTAAAATATAATTTATATGCTCTGAATTATTATTTTGAATATTCAGATGGATACACGGTGCTCGATGTAGTAATGTACTGGAAGGAAACTCCCGTTCGCGGGGTCGAAGAGGCGGAGTTGCCGCAATTTACAATAATCGGCTACGAAACCAACGATCGAAAGGAGAAGCTGGCGACGGGCATTTATCAAAGGCTCTCACTGAGCTTTAAGCTGCAGAGGAACATCGGTTATTTCGTTTTTCAGACATATCTGCCGAGTATACTGATCGTGATGCTAAGCTGGGTTAGCTTCTGGATCAATCACGAAGCTACGAGCGCAAGAGTAGCTCTTGGTAAGATCGAAAATGCAATTTTCTTTCCCCTTCTTTCTCTATTAAATTACGTGTTTCTCATTAAACTTATTTGAATTAATTTAAAATTGTACACACTACTTATAAATCAAGTAAATTTTTCACATTTACGTACTATTACATAGTTACTTTTTTCTTGAATAGACAATTAAATTTCATTAATTTTCTAGATAAATTAAAAATTAGTAAATGCTTTTGTTCCAATTATATAAATGTCTTATCTTTTTAATTTTCTTAAATTTTATCTAAAGGAAAGTTTTCTTCCAAATTAAGATTACAAAATTTGTAACTCATTATTTTTCTTTCAGGTATCACAACCGTGTTGACAATGACAACAATATCGACAGGTGTTAGAAGTTCACTGCCACGGATTAGTTACGTGAAAGCCATCGATATTTATCTGGTAATGTGTTTTGTTTTTGTATTCGCGGCTTTGCTGGAATACGCGGCGGTCAATTATACCTATTGGGGTGCCAGAGCGAAGAAGAAGCCCAAGAAGAAAGAAACCGACGAGAAGAAAGTGCTCTCTTCCAAAACTGGTAACAGATGTTAAGAAAAATTTTTTTGGAATTCTTACATTATTTTTTTCTCTGATTGATCTCCGATTTTATTTTAGGAAGCAAAGCTAGTTCGCCTTTCCCCGGTTCTACAGATGCGGATATTATAGAGCTTCACGACCTCAGAATGTCGCCTCTGCCAAGTATTAGAAATAGGTCAGGCTTAGTCAGCGTTCCGTCAACGCTAGGAGCCGGAAAGGACCATGATCCGGTCAAGTTTCCGCCGAGCTTTCGCATTTCCAGAGGAGCTACTTACAATACGTACACTCGAAATAGCGGTCTCAGATACAGAGGACCGAGATACAAGCCGAAGGTACGTGAAGATATTTTTAACAAATTGTACGAACATTTTGAGAGAATATTTGAAGGAGAACGAAACGATCATTGAGTATAACATCTTAATTATGTTATAATCTTAATTATTTTATATAGGTATTACATGCTATACGTAGAGGAGCTTCTGTGTTACGTGTGTCAATGCCGAAGATCAAGGATGTGAACGTGATAGACAAATATTCGCGAATCATCTTTCCGGTCAGTTTCATGCTGTTCAATGCCGTGTACTGGATCTTCTATTTCCTCTAAGTGGTGAACGGATGTTAAATCGAATTCAATTCGGCCTCATTTGCGCCTAAAAAGGACCAATCGATTCGGGAGGATCCTTTCACATCTTCGAGTACGATCGTCGAACACGATATGTCATACTTTTCACGGGGATGGAAGTCCACCGAATACTAACAGATGATGAAAGTACTGAATCGAAAGTACTGCCACGAAACACTTATGCATAGAAGTAAAACAAACTCGCGGGGGACTCGCGACATCGACAGCATCTATAAAATTTTCGTTAATTCACGATTTCTTGTTATTAGAAAGTATATAAATACAGCGACATGCACAAACAACAATATGTTCCTAATGAAGCATAAGAGCTTTGTCGTATGTGCTATATGAAAACAAGACGCGTAAATTTGACAAAGTTTGTGAAATCGAGAAGCGAAATGTATCGGAACAAAATACTTGCACTCGCCATGATAAAAGTGATCTACATCTTAGGAATAAATAGACTTCTCCGGTGTATTACATCATATTTTTTTCTCGTATATCAAAAAATAATATTTAATAATTTAACAATATATATTTAAAATATCCTTTTATTTATATTATTTTAATTTGTTTTGTAATAGTAAAACTTATAATTACTTTGTATAAGCTGATATAATAAAGTGTATGCATACTTTTCTCATATTTGTAATGTAAATGACTTTCAAAAGCGCTAGTTCATTTACGTAAAACGGTTCTCTGAATCTCAATCCCGCAAAATAGATTTAAGATCCATGTCGAAAATGCGAAATCGACAAATTATTCGCACGATTAATCGCGCGTTTATTGCAAATAGATATGCAGATGTTTATGCGTACATTTGCTTCTACTATTTTATAAAATCGAAACATATACGCAGTCCAGAAAAATTTTTATTTTTTAGAGGAAGATAGTAAGATTGATTCAGATACATGATGATTTATAGTGTGAGAATACTCAAACTTCAGTTTAAAAATTATATTACAGATAAACAGATCGAATATGGATACATTTTTAACTATTCACTTTAAGGAAAATTGTTTTTATAGCAATTTAGATGTACATGTATATATACGCGAGCAGTTTAATAAAAAATAAGTGTATGAACATTTCTACATATATTATTAACGATCCATCTAAAATTTCAATCTGTTTAATGCGTTTGTGTTAGAGTAATATTCTTTTTCTTTTCTTATTTATGGCTTTCTGTCTCTTCTATAATTCTCAAACATATTAATCATCGATAGAAATTAGTTCAGTTCAATTTATCTCTTATAAATTGTTTTGATAACTAGTCCTTAAAGAATAAGCAATTTCCTCCAAAACTAAAATATATAATTAATTGTGCCATAATAGCAAAGCAAAAACATATAATTGCAAACTATTGGTGGAAAAACCCTCATTAGAATGCAGAATAAATATGAGAGAATAGATGATAATATATATTTTATTTGATGTGTTTTTTAAATCTACTTATTAATCTCAGGTGATATAGATATATAGGTGTGATATAGATATATAACGTATATAAAAGTATAAAACATCTTAATTAATCTATGTTCTCAAATTGTAATGCTCGATATTACAGGCACATGTCTTAACACCACTACGTATTTCGTACATCTATATCTATGCTTTTATATATATATATATATATTCCTTATACTTATTTTAAAATACATACTTATTTAAAATACATAAAATTTCCCCATTCAATAAAACGTTAATGTATCATTTTGTTTGTTTTTCTATCGTGTTGATGATTTTTCTATCATCATCACTTCTACCATCATACTAATCAATCATACTAATAATTCTTCATTTTATAATTAAATCTTATCTTAAATATAATGCATAATATTATATATCTCTCAATATTATCAAAATATTTTTGGTTCTTAAGATTCTACATTTGTATATTTCATAATACTACTATATCACTATATCTTGTAATAAAAATATTGCAAAATATACGATTAGAGAGATCCTATAAGATATTTAATGAGCATTCAGGGCATTTTCAAGAAAACTTCGATATATATGTATAATTTCATACTTAAAAATACTTACCTTGCTAACGCACTCTATTGCTTTAAAATATATACTTCATGATCATGTACTTTACGCGCAAACAGTATTGCTCCCATGCATATCCATATCGCATCTGACAACGTCTATTATCTCTTATAGCTCTATAAGCCAAAGTTAACATGCAACAGATCGCTGCATAATATGGGAGAACGTCACATGTAAAAATAATGCAAGCGATAGACCATTGCATTATAATGTCACCTAAATAATTCGGATGTCTCACATGGCCCCACAAACCAGATAACATAAGTTTCTTTCCACGTGACGTAGGAATAGTCTCCAAATCTATAAATCCCAAGAACAAGTTTATATTAGTAAAAAAAAAAAAGAGAAAAAAAAGAGTAATTATGTTTTTATACGTACAAGGTACAGTCGGTGAAACAGGATTCTTTCGGAATTCGTCTTTTTGCGAATTGCTAGCTCTATACAGTTTATATCCTATTAAAAAGCCCAAGGCGCATACAAACAAAGCAGTTCCGACAAAGTAATTCAGTTTTATTCTGAAAGTACATAAAACAGAGATTAGAATATTACAGTTACTTGTCAATTAACTTGTTAGTTTTACTTACTTCTGATACAATATGAATCTTGTTGTAAGAGTTGTCAAAAATGGATATAGTAAGTGACTGATGCATGTCATGTATCCAGTTCCTTCGTACATTATTGTAAAAGACGTAAAAATAGCAGCTTCATATATTAATCCCATCAACAATATAAAACAGTTGCAAGACGATAGCCAACAATGCAGCTGCATGAACTTGCTCAATACTTTTTACATTGCCAAAAATTTTAATTGCGACAGCCGCATTCACAATCAACTGCAAAACAAAAAGAATAATTGTAACGGTTATTTATATTAAATTTGTTTTTGTAGGAAAAAAGATACAAAATAATAATTACCGTGCCAATGAGAGAAGCTCGTATTAACAGCAGTTTAATATCCAAAGCACCAATTCGTGGATTAATCTCTCTTCCCTGCCAAAAATTGTATATCATGCTATTCGTTGATGCGTATATATTAAGATTGGCTACCGGAGCTCTTCCTGCCTTGATATATAATCCCAATGCTAAAATTGTGCCCACAAGCCAGCCACTGACAGACAACTGTACAATATTATTCAAAATATAATCACTGACTGGAATATTTTTGTACACACATATACCGAAAACAGCAACCATCAATATAATGCTTAAAAAACCTGAAAATTAAAAAAAATATTATTAAGATTAGAAATAGTAACAAAATTAAAAATAAAGGCCACAATATTAAGTATGTACCATTTATGCGATATTGAAGTCTTCCGATTTTACTGTGCTGTCCATCCACAATTTTCCCAATAGGTATAATCGATATGCAAGCCAGTAAGACTAAAAATGCTGCATAAGCCAACAAGCTATACAAATTTATGTAAAATTCCAAATCAGTAGTAAGTTTCACATAAGCAGATTTGCACTGCTCTTTAGAGCACAAGAGTTGCGGTAAGATAACAGACGCCGGTAATATAAATATAAGGAAAAAAGTCCCGATCCAACCACCCCATTCTTGCGGTTTGTCGACTCTATACATGTCTTTGTCAAGTTTCATTTTCTCCCATTTTTCGTTCTCTTGCGACAACAAAAATTTTTTCAGATCCTGAAATAATTCTTAATATATAAATTGTTATATCATATAAACTATCTCATAATATTTCCTTTATCACAAAAAATATGAGAAAGAAGAGTTGTATACATATATTGATATTATATTATTGAAATTTACTTCATCTCGTTGCACTGAATATCCTCTTTCTTTTTCTTCTTGAAGATATTCAGATACATAATTTTTCCTCTCCACCGGAAGTGAGACAGCTCTATCAACATTTCTTGTTACAAGTGGCTTATGAATCTGTTCCACCTTGAGACTTGACAATCGTGCTGATCTACGCGTTACTGTACTACTATCCTTCAAGCGGTGTTGCAGAGGCAAAGTCTCTGGACTCTGGCTTAATGATTTTGTTTCACTTCCTTCTTTGTGGTTGCTCATTTTATCTGCTCATTAATCAGAACAAAGTTGCATTACTAGAAATATCATTACTAGAGTAGCAAATAAAAAATAGCAAATATATGCTTACCTTCGATATCTATACGTGAGAGAGATATTTTAGCTTGACGCGTGCTACGAATAGGCAATTTCCTAGACGTAGTCGATGGCGATCTTCCAGGTGATCTACCAGATCTGGCTGGTGATCGTCTACTTGGAGACTTCCTGCTAGGAGAATATCTTGAAGGACTTTTTGTTACTCTGCTGCTTGATCTGACTGCAGTTCTTCCTACTCTCTCATACTTAAGCGATAAAAAAAGAATGCATATTAATATATGTATGTCATCATTTTAATGCATAATTCCTATGCAGAATATATCTTTAGATAAGAAAAAAAACACAACTGGAATTTTGAATTTATTCTACATTCTTCTTAAATATATTTATGTATTTGATAGTGCATTTTTATCAAATGCTAATAATTACCTTTATATCATTTTCTCGAACTGTATGCTCAATGCCAGTTTCAAATTGTATTTTGTAACGATCACCTCTGACATTAAGAATTCTCCCTTTATAATATTCAGAAGTATTTGGATGCTTCGCAAGAACTTGCTCACCTTCGGTAAACTTCATTGTGCACGAAGTTTGTAGAGTTTAATATTCTAAGAATCATAGGATTAAAAAGAAAAGATAATTTATGATTGTTAATTAACTAGCTTTAGACAAACATACTCATACATATTCATACATACTCATACATACTCACACACACTCACACACATATATATACATACATATATATATAGGGTGTTTCATAATTCAAACCCAAGTATTTCTAGATCTATATTCATAAAACATTTCTTTATAATTCTGCTCATAGAACAAATTGGCAAAATTAACTGTTTTACTTTAGAGCATTTTGTATATAGTGTAAATAATAAAATGATCAATATCAATATATTATATATTCGACAATAATCTAGAAGAACAAAATAATTCGTTTAATTAAACAGATTTCATCCAGATTTAATACAATTATAGTTTCAAAACGATTCATTATTGTTTCATACATATATAAGAACCGTTATAGATATTTATATAACATAAAAATTCTTTCGATTGAAAAATATAGATACCGCCCAAGTTTCATAATTACCTGAAGGTATGTAAACTGTCGGAATTGGAAGGAAGTCGCGGGAAAGCGTCTTTTGCACGCTTTTTTGGTTGGTTTAATCGTGAATTAAACGCAAACGTATTACGATCGGAATACAATTCACTGTGAAACTTACGTATGATTCTGAACGGTTGGTGTTCTACTCTGCAGATATCCACGTCTGAAAAATAATAAAACTTCCACAAGTCGCGAGGTTACGCTTGATACAACTCTGATGCATCATAATATGTACACGATCAACGCGCGACTGGAGGCACGCTATGCGTTCCGAAATGCATCCACTGCACGCCACGCGGGAAACCAACTTACCGTTACGTCGGTGGGCGCGTTCACATTTTGCGACTCGGCTAACTTCCTCGCCCATATAATATTTGCATACGTTGCAGAATATCAAGTCGAACGCACTTTATCTTATCTCGATGAACGGAAACTGCGCTACAGCAAAACTTGCATCGATAAGCAATTTTACACGGTGAACACTTATTACAGTAAATTTTGAACTTTATATTATTCTAAAAGCTAAAAATATTTAACAAATTTTTCAATATAAATTTTTCAATTATTTGTAAAACTTCAGTGTTTATGAATATCAATGACATCAATCGTAAAATGGCAATAAAACCAATGCAAATTATTTATACTATTTTAATTGTGTTTAATAAAGTTGGTTTGACAAATACTTCGATCGTTTTTCGATTATCTCTTCATTATATTTCTATCTAATATCTATTATTGATAAGATTAAAAAATTATAATAGATATTACATAAAAATATTATACACTGAGAAAATAGAGTCGAATAAAATGACCGAAATGTTGATTAGATAATATCAAATCAATTTTATATATTATACAATTAACATAACACGAACAACTTATGCTAATTTTATTGCCCATTTAACAAAACATTCAAGTTTTCTCCATTTTTTATTACTTGTACCTCTTATAAAACTTTCCATTAGTTTTTATAAAAAATGTTGAATTAATAAAATGTGTTATAAGAAATACTTAATAAAAAATAATTTAACTGAATCACTCTATGAATTATAACACATTGTGTGATATTATGATTCATGTACATTCTGTGGTGTTATCGAAATTATTATTCAAATATATTTTAAGAGAAATTCGACATATAATAATAATTTAATACAAATAATAAATAATGATTTTTTGATGATTAAGCCTCCTATTCTGCAATCTTTAACGATGTCGTTATGTATCACTGCGTAGGTTTTTTGTATCACGTAATAGCTGCGCAATTATACATAACGACATCGTTAAAAGTTACAGAATAGGCTTAAACAATAAATTTTCAGAAGCACACCTTTAGAATATATCTGAAAATTTAAACATAAATTTCGTGTTTCTTTTTTGTTAAAATTACACATACCTACTTAATTGTACTGTCTACATAATAGGTTTAAACGCAATAGAAATCAGAACCGCGGTCGCAAAGCAAATTGTAATTTTTTAAATATATTAAATATCACAATGTTATATTACAAATTTTTATGAAAATCAAGCAGATAATTAATTAATTATTTCGAATTAATATGTCAAATATGGTATGTCCTCATTTATATGTGACTTTTGTAATCTTCAATGCTTATTTATGCTTTCAATTTATAGATTCATATTTTTAATTTCTTATTATAAATATTATGTTATATGCAGAAAAACAGTAAATATAAGTATGAGATAATATCGCTATAGTAATGGCAAAATTAATTATAGGTTACGGAAATATTAACAGCAGTTGTGACATCATAAGAACATTTATAACCTTAACCTAATTTTATAAATGATCTAAAAAATATTTGTACACAACAATTGCAAGTACACCGCTATTCTTCTTCAATAACACAGAAGCACAGATGGACGAAATTAATTTCGAAAATGAACATGAACTTTTAGTATGTATTTTGCTTAGTACTTATCGTTATGCAGAAATTTATTTTATTTCTCTTTAAATTTCTACTTTTCAGAATTCTTTGGAAACAATTTTAAGTTCCACTGAATGTAATCTTCACGAATATATAGACGACATTCCGCAAATGTTTGCGATTAACAACTTCAATCCTGAAGTTCATAAGACGGAAACAAACGGAGAAGGAATGCATACACTTTTTAATAACTTTTCAACATCGTGTGTTGATGCATCAAAAGGTTATATTTCTTATAACAAAATAACATTTTTTAACACATTTTACATAAATAAATACGTTCAAAAAACAGTACAGCTGATTACTTTATAATACGTTTTATACACTTTACATAAAATTTTGTTATATTTTTCTTTAATAAAAAATAAATATCGTATTTATTTATAGATAATGCTAAAGAAATGTTAGTGTTAGAATCAAAATGTGAACAGCTAGGTGCTCAAGTTGAAAATTTGACAAAAGAAAAGAAAATTGCATTTGAGGAAATAGAACGTTTGAAAGATCAGGTAAAATCTTATTATTTTATTTTCGTGGATTAATTTCATTTAATTAATGCATTTTATTGTTTTTAGTAGCAAGGATCAAGCTACGAATGTTTTTTTCTCGTTTATTAATTCAAAAATACTTTTAAAAATTTTGCAAGTATTTTTATGTTACCCATGTTTTAAAAATGCCATTTGTTAATTTACTTTCGCCTTTACTTCCATCCAGATATCAAATCAAAGTACTTATTGCACAAACCTTGGTGCAGTGTTAGGTAACTTGACATGGCGTGCTTCTAAATTGCCACAAATTGTCGATATTTGGTTATCGAGCGTAAGTATAAAATTGATATATAGAATTGAAAACTTTAAGTAAAAGAACATAATACATTATGAAATTTTTTATACTTGAAATATATAAAAGCTTTTAAAGATAGAAAGACACTACAAGTCTTTACATTTTTTTAAACTTTTCTATCGTGCAATTCTTTTAGATTTTATATTATATTGTGAGCAAATTATTAAATATATTAATACAATTTTTCAACGTTTTTCTCTCTTTTTTTTTATAGTTTCAGAACAAAATAGGAGAATTCTTGTCGATAGTAAATGGCACTTTTGGAGCGTTTATTAGCATTTATAAAAGTGCATTCCCTCCAACGAGCAATGTTGAATATCAATTTGTAATGGGGCTCCTCGGTATTATCACAAACATATCCGCGAATCCGGAGGGTCGTGAATTTTTAATTACAAATTCCAATGGAAAGGAATTCGTGCAGAAGATAATTAAACTAACGCCTGAATTGCCATCAACTCCCGAAGCGTTATCTTTAAAAAGGTACATATATGCATTAATAAATTATCCTATCGTATTTCTAAAGTTGTCTTCACCTTTGCATTGCAAATTTTATCTTTGTTCTTTTTGATATCTTTTCACTTGAAAAAAGAAACCTTATGAAACACTATGTTAACAAGCACAGTTGCTTTACAGATTGGTGCTAATGATTCTGTACAACGTGAGTATGAATAAGACCGGCTTGCAATATCTGCTCAAATTGCGAGTAGGAGATGTGCTAAATCACTATTTAGAAGCTGAATCGTCCTCGGAAGAAATGCAGCTACTCTGTCTTCGTGTTTTACAGTCTATCACTTACGATCTTACAGAGCCGAAATACATTCATGATCTGATCACGACAATCTCGATGAAAAAAATCGAGACAATGACGCTTTCGAAACGAGATGACATAAGCGGTGTAGCAAAAAAAGTCATTAAGCATTTAGGAGACAGTCGAAAAATTGCAAAATAATATCAATATGTTAAAATTAAATTAATTCTTTGCAAAATATTTTTTATATGGCTCATATAAAAAAAATATGTATAAGTAATTATAATGCATAAATTTCTTCATAAGAGATCGCCACAATTAAAGTGCTTATAAAAATAAGCATGTAATTATGCGCCTAATAAGTAAACAATTGAATATCTTAAATCAAGTTTTTGAGTTTTATGAGATGGTCTCATTAAGTGAATTTTTTTTTAATGTACTGACACTGTCATAATTATGACATACATGACAATACTAAGATTTTGTTAATTAAATATTTTTCAATACGTCCATTGTGTATCAATATTCGTTAAGTCTTAATTTCAATTTTTGTTTTTTTAAATAATACCGATTATCAAAATTACGTTATATATATTAGAGGACTCTTTACTGCTTCAAACTTTTAAGCGTGTTTCCACTATCATTATATCCAATAATAGATTATTACCGGACTACTCCTTGCAACATATGTTCGTGGTTATCGCGGGGGTTGTCGAGGATATCGATCTGCAAAGAGCAGGAACAAAATGAAGCGATCGCACAAGACCGCGAAGTGCTTTACAACGGCAAGTCGGTATTATATAAGTCAGTAATAACTTCAATAATGGCCGTCTAAATGTTAATAAATAACTTATACAGTAATAAAGTTAGTTGCTCTTGAGTAACCAAGTTCCTTACGATTAAAATTAAAATTTGTAATACAATGTTTTATTTATTAAAATTCTGGTAGATGAAATTCTATCGCCGTAACTCAAATTTATTAATTTCACAATAAACTATTTTTGTCTGCTCCTTATAACAATTTATTCAAGAAGGAAGACACGTCAGTGTACACCGACCTAGCAGGTGTATTAAGCTAATGACCGATCGTTCCAAATAAAACTTGGCGTGTATTTTCATAGAAAGGTTACAATATTATGCAATAATCGTGCATAATTAAATTGCAATTTAAATATTTCGTGTGTAACTTGAAAACAGTTTTGCAAAATATTGCAGACAAAATAAAAATGTCATTGTTATATTAATTCTAACTTTCGCGATAGTCTAATTTCTCTGTAAGAGAATAGTATATGTTTACATACTATTCTCTCTAGTGTATTAATAAATCATAATAATTTATTTAAAGAGCAAATATAATTTGTACTTGTACACATCAATGACATTTTAAGAAGATACCTTTCCTCATCAGGTTGAAAGGCAAAAAATAATTTATCTTATATCTTTGAATAGGTATACGTAATTAGCATATCTAGAGCTAACAACTAAAGAGAAAATAACTTTTCTAATTTCTCTGTGAAATATATGATATTATGCGGCAAATAGTATATACAGGGTTGTACGCAGTACAATAAAAATATGTTCAATCTGAACAAATTTACCTCTTTTAGGATAATTCACCATTATTTTGTGTTTTCGCGTCTTTTCTCTATCTCTTTCTCTTAAATTTTTCTATTTTTTATTCAGGCAAAAATCTCCTCGAATAACGTATTCTTTACGTCCGTTACTGAACTTACTCGAAAGGCATTCAAATTCCGCGAATGTACTTTTCGTTGATTTTCCCGTGGACGTTCCTGGTCGCTGCGGTCGGATATCGACCTGCGACGCGAATTTGCACGCGAGCGGGCGTGCGCGTGGTCTGCGGAGATCGCACCGGAGCGCGGCGCGACGCCGCGACGCCGTGCGTTCGGGGATTGGCGCGCGGAGAAGCGCGACGACGGGGGTGCAGGTAGGCGCGCGCCGCGTCGGGACGTCGGCGTCCGACGTCGCTCAAGCAAACGGGAGATCTCGGCAGGCAGAGGCCAGGCAGGACCTAGGGCAGGCGACGGCCGGGCGGTCGGTTTATTGATCCCGGGGCGCCGCGGCGCTACCCACCCGCGGCGGGGTAGAGCCTGGCGAGAGGAAACTCTTTTCCCCGACGAGGAGGATCTCCGTCGTCCCTTTCTTCCTCCGCGTACTCGAGACCGGCGAATCGACCGGGAAATTCTCCTACCGACGATCTTTTCACCCTGCGCGACTCGCGCACCTCGAGTTTCTTCTTCATCGCGGTGTAGCCCGGAGCCGGTCGGTGGGTGTGTGCGACATAACCGTCATCGTCATCGTCGTCGAGACGTCAGTATCAACATTTCTTGGTAGCGGTTGGAAAACGGGCGCGATCGATCGTCGTGGGATAACAGCGAGGATAGACACTAGTGAACCAGTGACCCTAAAGCCGACAGAAAAGTTTCTTATAAAACGTCCACGCCGGCTGCATCGTGATCGACTTGAATAATAACTGTCAAGAATACGAAGAATCGATAAAAGATCTGCGAAGATTTCACAAAGCGGTAGCTGGAAGATTGTTTTTTATTGTTATTGAAAAACCGGTTCTGCTGTTGAAGAAATGGTGACGGAAATTGAGAAGATTAGGGGAAGAAGACGATCAGTGGTCATATGTTTCACACTGTCGTTAGGCCAGCACAAATTATCGAGATATCGACAGGTTTAAGTTAACTCGAAGTTGTCCCAGATACCTCCTTCAGACATTCCGTGGAAGTAGTGACAAGGAGGTCGCCGACGTTCCGGAAACACTTCGAGCTCTTACGATGATAACAGACATTAAAGGAACGAGAACACTTAAACTCTGCTGAAGCCAAATTTTAACGCTAATCTCAATTTCGAAAGCCGATATAAATGACTATAATCTGCGTAAAAGTCATTCATTCCAAAAAGAAAGAAAAATTTCGCCATCTGAGTGATTATCTATACATTTTTGACTGACATTTATTCAATTAAAGGTGCAATTGAAGGAGAAGACACTAAACACTAATATATTTCACATACGGCGAAATAAAACAAAATTATTTAAACACGTTAAATGAAAACTAAAGAATAAGAAAGAGAAAAGAGAAGAAATCGAGTATTTGATCGCTCTTGTGAAACAAATGGACATAGACGTGGCTAACAAGGCTGATTGCCATAGAATTTTTGCTAAACCAAAGCCGATGGAAGCATCGTAAACTTTCGCTGGATTGCGCTAACCTGGTGTCGTTGTGTTGATCGTCCAAGAAATCGGTCGATCGATTTAGGTGCCGTTGACGCCTCAATTTTAACAAAGAGTTCAAGTGGAAATCAGACCTTCATCATTTAGGAGGTACTGTAACGTTGAAATGGGCCCCACCAGCAGCCGCGAGCAAATCGGCGAGCAGATTGGCGACGACGACGGCCTGCAAATTCACCCGAAGCCAATGATCCTGGCGAACAATGTCGTAAGTGTCATGCGTTTTTTTCGTTATACTCTCTCTAATTCAGGCTAAGTTTGATTCTTCGGATGATATTTCATTTTCTCAACAAAAAGCTTTTCTTTTTTCAAAATCGATTATTCAACAAGTCAACAGAGCCAAAGTAGAAAGACATTGTAGTTATGACACATTATAACATGTTCTGATTCATCATTTCTATATTAGTCAGCGCAAAACATAATAATATCACAGCAACATGGTGAGAAATTTTAATCGATTATTCACTTACAATTTTGCTTTTATTGCGAACGTCTCAATTCTTAATGAATCTTTATGAATGAATCCTTAATGAAGGAGTTAAACCAGTACACAAAATAATATATTTTACGCATAAGTAACATTTGCATTTCTTGCAAATGCCTTCGCAAATGTCACATCGGAGAAATCATCTAATTTCCTCAAAGCATGTCAAGTTACGGTTTATTTCGTATTAAGATAACATCGTGGTTAATGCAATGCATTCGTGTTAGAAAAATACTAGTGTTACATATGTAACATACCCAATAATAAGAATATGAAAGTCTAAGTGGATCACGTATGAAGCATTGATAAAAATTGTAACGATAAACCCTCGATTCTTTTTTCGTTAATCACGAAATTTTTGCCACTTCCTTGAAATTATTACGTTTATCGCAAATTGTTTCGTAATCTAACTCAGGTTTTATGATGAAAGCTTTGAAATTTTGCACGCTTCGACAGTACTGCGATAAGAGCAAATCGACGCGCAAATAGAGAAAATAACACATATAGAAAATATTCTATTTTTGTTACATTGTTCAATGGCAAATGCCATTAATAGTTGACTTTTCAATAGATCTTTGCTTAATAAAAATGTATATCGTTTTATTACTATTTTATAATTTATATATTATTTATTTTTCAAAGAGATCAAGGATTACATCACTTTTTAGTATTCTAAGACGTATATACATATACATATTATGGGGAATTAAAGCTCCTATATCTGCGACTCAATTACCACCGATTGTTCGCACGTGGTGATCAAATAATCTTGCGTGACGTAATCAAGAGAGAGAGAGACAAGGGGGAGAGCGAGAGATCATTGCCTAAAGCTCGTCAATTTCAAATGCGCGCTGTAGATACGCATGTACGAAAAATGTATCGCACGCACGCGAGATTACGCAGAACTTTGTACTCGCCGCCAGGCGGTTTACCGCTTTTGTTCGCGCGCACAAACGCATGAGTAATGCACCGCCGACCGCGTTTAAAGATGCGACAAAGTGCAAACGGCAGCGAGAGAAAAAGAGAAAGAAAGAGAGAGAGAGAGAAAGGGGGAAGAGGAGGATGATGACGAGAAGTTTGCGAGAGGGGCGAAGGGAAGACGCAGGACATACACATGCGGAGCAAAACACGATACGGGGACGAGCGCGGCGAGATGCGGAGTTCCCCGAGAGTGGGGAATCGGATGGACATGTTCAACGCGTCCTGTGTCCACGCGATTAAGTCAGCCGGTGGTTGAGCAGCCACGAGCGAGCGCTTTTAATCGCGCGTATTGCTCGCGTTTCGCGCCGAGTTATAGCCTGCTCCCGACGCTTTTCCGTGTCGCGGATCAGGTGCCGCGGCTTTGCATCTTCTCGCTCTCGCTCTCACCGGTCGCTTGCACACGAGGGTGCATTCGCCTTCCATTGAGAAAGAGCAAAGAACCACCATTTCACAATGTCGCCTAAAAATAAGGTAAGTATTACGGTAGCACAAAATTACCTTAGCAAATGTGAGTTTGCGTTCGATTTGTCACGGAAATATACTCAATGTTGCCTAAAAAGATATTGTAAGCGTTGTTAAATAATATCGTGTCATCATACATTAATGACATCTATTTATAGAAAAAATATAAAATTTATTTTTAAATATTATTACATAATGATAAGCATTTGAAGAATAACAACTGTTATGTTTTTAAAACTCCGAAACTGACATAATATGACGACAAATTCAATTTTTTATAGGAAATAAATACAGACAATTCGGCTTTTCCCATTTTTACATTTCTATTATCGTATTTAAACAATGAGATTATTGTCCTATGTCAATGACATAAAAATTTCAAATCACCTTTTATCATTTCAAATCCTGATAGTCAAAATATAAATATCATTAGAACTAATGTTACAACGGCATATTCCGAACATTTTTAATGATGTTTGTTAATATCGGAAAAAATTCCGCGATAGCGATAACAGAAGACTGACGTGTGATTCCACATTTTCCATTTAGAGAATTTATAATGATACAGCGAAAGTAACGTTTTCAATTTCACCGCATCATTCTTCTTTTGCAAACTATGTCGAGTTCCGTAAAGAATGATATCCCACGTGTTTGCCAGCGTGTTCTCGAGCATGTTCTCCGCAGCGTTAGCAAAAATTCGAATCGAACCGATAGCGAAACGATAGCACGTGATTGCTCTGTGGGCGTATTCAATTTTCTTTCTTTCTTTTTACCGCAGAAAAATACATTTCAATTAACAATTAACATTTCATATAGTAGCGGCATATAATTATTCCATTGATATAATTAATTTTTCTGTTTGTGCACAAAATTTTGTGATTCCTGTGCATTTTATGCTCCAGATCTTTTATCAATGCTTCATGAATCTTCAAAGAAAAGTTTGTACAAAAGTCATTCGGTGCGGTTTCCCAATACTCGATATTAAATAGATTTAATAATAATTAGTATAAATATAATAATTATAAAAATATCACAGAAATATTGTCAAATCAACTTCGAATTAAATTTCTTCATCGTTGTGATTTCACGTTGAGCTTACTTATATTTGCAATCGTATTGTTTTACAGCGACTCGACATTTCGCGATATGATTCATTCGTCGCTAATATATCCGCTAAACAGATATGCATTTCCAGATAATTTACGCACGCATAAATCGTCTGATGAATGTAGTAGAATCGAAAAATCACCCGAGTATAAAATATTTAATACTTTAAAATAAAATTCATAGAAAAAATGATTCTCTGTTTTTAGAGTAATTAAAGTTTGGTTTGAAAAGTTTGCAAACGTATTAAAGACAATCACGAAAACGTCACATGGCATTCCATTACTCAACTAAACATTAGTCGAAAACGATAAACAATTTTCGGAAAGAGAGCAACCTATCAATTTATTGTCTTTTTAATTAAGTTTTTTCTCGCCGTTTTTTTAACGATTTTTTGTCAATCGATCTTCTCGGGAATGACAAAAATCTGCGTAACAGCAATGCCGAGTAACGACGAAATACCCGAGTGAAAGTGAATTGTAGGTTGGCGAGGAAATTGATAATGCGATGTTGCAGTACACGACGAAAACACGATATTTATTGCGGACAACGATATATGCGCAGCATCGTTTCCGCACGCGTATGTTCTCTTTCATAGCATTTTTCTTATTATTCTATTATATTAAATATTTTTATCGCTGTCTTTCTTTCAAAATGTTCAATTCTGTAATCGCAAAAACGACTCGAGACGAAACCGCCATTTCCCGAACTGACTTTTATCACACAACGATTTCTAACACACTCATCAGATAGGCTTGAGAGATCAAGATCTACTTTTCTGTGTGCGAACATCTTATCTTTTGAGTGTTTATTGAACTCGTTATCATCTTCTATCGATGTCGAACACACCTCGAATCCGCGACTCAAATTCACCAACAGATATTAAATCGTGTTTCTGTTTTCAATTATTTTTCGTCGATTAAATTCTCTATCACGTTAATAACTCCGTGATTGATACGTTTTCGATTACGTAAAAAAAATATTACACATGACGAAAATTGAAAAATTTAAAGTTTATCATTATGTATAACACAAAAATTATACGTTCTATAAGTATAAAGAATGTTAATAAAGCTAGATTTATATAAAAAATTTAATTATTTAAAGTTAATGTACTGAGATCTTGTTTTGTTTCTTATAGCTTTCTCTTGAACAATTTTTTATTTTATGACGTAAGTCTTCCGCGATGACTGCGTATAGTCAAATGTAATCGAATATATATAGTCGCAATTGTTTGCGTCCGAGAATGCAGTGCGGAAGCACAGACCTCACTATCAAGAGGCGGTAGCGCAATCCAATAAAGTTCCAGTAATTAGAGCACATATACAAACAATAATAATGTGATTGCTCGAGTGCGTATCTGAAAACGTTACCTTTCCTTTTTGACTGCAATTCTGAATATCGTAAACAGACAATATTAATGAGCTTGCGATTAAATAATTTACGCCAGAAACAAATGCAGCAACAGATGATAACTCGCGGCATTTGTGTAGTGATTGATCTTTACTTTATCATTTAGAATAGCCACTTCAATTTTTATCAATCTTATAATCGTTTTGAACAAATTACCAGGCCGATAAACGACTAATGTTGAAATTGTTTTCTTGGAATCGTCATCTTTTTTTGCGATATGTAATACATATTTAAATTTTGCCGTACAAATATGATTATCATGAAATATCCTGAAATTTTTTTTCGAAAAATAGACGAGGAATAATACGAAAATATCATTTAAGTTTTTCTCTTCCCTCGAAGTTCTATTAAATTTTATTAATTTAAAATTCAAAGAATTAAATAACATAACTGATCAATAATTAATTTTGCAGGTTTATGAAAGTTGCAATATCTGGAAAATGGATTTCCATTAAGTATTAACACAGAATTGTAGTAGAATTTGTTATTATAAATTTACTCGTCTCTTTGTTCGCGCTGTTAAGTTGCTTTGCGAAACCTTTCCGCGAAGATGAGAAGCAGATGGTGTTCTCATGCGTTCCTGCCTTCGACTCTAATTGTCGCTGGTTATTATCTAATTAATTCATAAGCGTCATCAGCCACATGAGCATCGCTCTGCGCGGCCGCACAGTGTTTCACATGACCGAAGCTCGCTGTCGCGCTCGAGCTAACTTTTAACATTGTTCCGTTATTATTTTCACTCGTGCGAGGTCTACATTCGTTGA